CCACATAATAAAGCACAAATAAGCCAGAAAATAGAGAGAAAAAAATCAAAAAAATAAAAGGGAAAGGGATCCTCCCCATCTCTTCTTCTTAACGTACTAAATCAGAAGATCCAGACTGTTGAAATTTGATCAATAGTTGAAATTATTATAACTTTTAAAATGAGCTCCTATTTGTAATCATTATATCAAATTTCAACGGTACAAATCTCTTAATTTTATGGATTAAAGGGAAGAGATCAGGAGATATGATTTCCAAATAAAATAAAGCGCAGAAAGAGAGAGAAAGGATAAGACGGGGCGGCCATAGTAACAAGAGAGAGAGAGGAGAGAGGAGAGGGGAGAGAGAGAGCGCGCGCGCAACTTTACAACCACCACCCCTTTCAACGTAACAAGAGAGAGAGAGAGAGAGTCGTCAGCGTGGAAGCTTAGGTGAGAGACGCCGAAATCCCCAGAAAGCCCTCGCTCTCTCCGTCTCTCTTGGACCGTCTGGTAGGGGCAGTACTGGTAGAATACTCTTCCCTCCATCTTCCTCTCTCTCTGAGATGAGCCGTGCCGTTTTACGACTTGAGTTTCTTCTGCTCTCTGCTTCTCAAGCGTTTTGACCTTGGCTCGCTCTCTGAGCTTCTCGCGCTTTCGGAGGAGCTCCGCTGCAAAATGACGAGAATGCCACTGCCATTGCTGAGCTCTGCGCCCATGGAGGCCGTCTCCATACTCTTCAATTGGTGGGACGAGATCAACGAGTCCTCCCGGTGGCAGGATGGCTTCTTCTACGCTCTCTGCGCCTCCTACGCTCTCGTCTCTTCCGTCGCTCTGGTATCTCCCTCTCTAACTTTCTATCTCTCTCTAACTTCATGTGTTTAGTGCATCTGATTCGATTTCATGCTTCTTAGTGGTTAATTAATCGCTGATTTTCTATGAATTCGAGTAGCGTTTCGAGATCGGAGCTCTCAGTAAACCGAAAATTATATGATTATTCCAAAATTTCTTCAAACAGTTATTGATTGCAACACATGAGTCAGTGGCGCAAGGAGGTGCGGCCGCACCTCCGGTCGCCGGAATCCGTTCCTATTCAGTTCAAATTTGGATTAATCGAGTGCGAAAAGCTTGTCTCCGTTGATGCACGAAAGTAGCAGGATTCAGTCCATTTCACAAGTTACTAAAATTCTAGGTGTTCATAGAGAAATTTGTGAAATGGTGCTAAGTAGAGTGATTGTGTTTGTGATGCACAGTTTCAACTGATAAGGATTGAATTGAGAGTGCCAGAATACGGGTGGACGACGCAGAAGGTTTTTCATCTCATGAACTTCATTGTTAACGGAGGTGATTCCCGGTGCCTTACTGCCTTTCGGAGTCTCTCTTGGTATTATTTCCCTTTGATTGTGAATTTGAATTGTTTTGGTGTTGATATTGATGTTGCAGTACGAGCAATTGTATTCGGATTTCACGGTCAAGTGTTTCAGTTGCACCCGAGGGTTAGTCTCGTGTAGTTTCAATCACTTCACATCGTAAACCTACCACCCCTGTATGCTACTTGACACTTGTAATCGCTTTTGAAATGTATGCTAAAATTTGGCAGCTGGGTCTTGAACCAGGTACTAATATTGGTCTTGTTGGATCTTCCTGGGCTGCTATTTTTCTCTACGTACACACTTCTTGTCCTCTTTTGGGCGGAGATTTATCACCAGGTAAAAGCATGTTCTTAAATCTTTGCATGCTATTGGTATCTGTTTTCTGTTATTTGTAGGCCAGACTTCAATTCTACTGAGGTGTACAAACGTTGAGTGCGGTTGTTTCTTTTAACGAATTTAGACTTCTGACTTCTTTTCTTACTATCATTGAACAGGCAAGAAGTTTACCAACAGATAAGCTGAGGATTGTTTATATATCAGTCAATGCTATCATGTACTTTATACAGGTGCACTCCATTTTCCCTTTCTTCATGCTTAATTCGTTGCGTGGTTTCTCTAGAGAACATAACATAACATGTTTTGTATACAACATTGCCACTACTGAGAGTATTACCTACATAAGCAGCCGGGTCACCTTCCAATTATTCGTTCTTTGCTAATCTCCTTGATCTTAGGTTTCTTTAAACCGTATAATTATTAGCTTCATCCTGCATGTTCTTTCTCAATAAGTTTTGTGGAAAAAGTTCTACAACTGTTAAAAGAGTAGGGTTGGCTCTCCTAGGTTGTTTTTTTTTTTTTTTTTTTTTTTCCACCCATTTTGTTGCTAGGTTACATAGAAGAAAGTTATCTTTCGGGTTTTCCTATTTGATGTACGATTTGTAGTGTTTTGTAACCTGGAATGGCACATAATTGTTCATATTTAACTTCTTGTACTAGACACAAATTTTAATTTACCTTATGAATAATGTGGTTTTGTCTTCAGGTTTGCATCTGGATATACCTCTGGATGGACGACAACAGTGTCGTTGAGTTCATTGGAAAGATATTCATTGCAGGTAAGGCCTCTTCCGAGTCATGCTATAGGTTTCACAAGTCCCCTGTTATTGAGAATGACTTTTTTTGGCATCTTATAGAGTTGGTTTGGTATTGCTGTGCTTTGAAAAAAAACTGTTTCTGCTGTGCTGTGAGAATAAGCAGTTATGAAATAAGTGAGAATAAGCAGTTGTGAAATAAAGCAGTAGAATGTTTGGTAAACTTTTTTGTAAAAGTGCTTTTGAAAAAAAAAAAAAAAGCAGTATTATAATGTTTGATAAACTTTTATGTAAAACAGATGTGAAAAAAAACTGGTTTTTCAAAGCTGGGTTTTGCAGCTTTGTGTTTTTGGCTTTTTTTCACCTAAAACTGTGAAAAAAAACTGAAGCTGAATGTTTACCAAACATAAAAAAGCTCGCTTTTTTTTATAGCCACTTTTTTCAGAATCACCTTAGTACCAAACTAGGGCATAGTCTTATGGATCTGGTCATTGCTTCTCTTGTTTAATAAGCATACTCATTATATTGTACCTATTTTGTTCCAGTCGTGTCATTTGTGGCTGCACTAGGCTTCTTGATATACGGAGGAAGGTTAGTGTTCTGCATCGTATTTAAAGTATATGGAGCTTTGTCTGTTCTGTGTTTGTGCCCATGCATTTGTAATGGGTGGGTTATTATCAACAATTTGTTCAGGTTATTTTTCATGCTGAGACGCTTCCCCATTGAATCTAAAGGGAGAAGGAAGAAACTTCATGAGGTTTGTGTCTTGCGTTACATTTCGTCTATCAGATTAGAAGACCTGATTGCTAAATCGATGGCATTCAATCTTCTTGGCTAGATTTATTCGCTGCTTTGTTGTGTAATTTTGTTTCCCAAAGTTTACTCTTCAGAATACAACACACATACGAAACACATAAACGGGAGGATTTTGTACTATCTATCTTGATGTAATACCATTGTAATTGCTTGCAAATATTTTTTGTTCGGAGAATCTCCTTTAAGCGTTGTGAGTTTCATGTAGATCAAGTTTTTGGGTTCTGAAAGAAAGAGAAAATATGTGCGAACAAATTGTTGTGTTAAAACTTGTTCTATTGACTAACAAGTTGGTGATATTGCAGGTCGGATCCGTTACAGCCATATGTTTCACCTGCTTTCTCATAAGATGCTTTGTGGTAAGGTTCAAACCATTCTAATGCGGTAGTAATTTGAAGAACCCTCATCTTGCATTCTTACAAAAGAATAGTTAACGTTCCAGTTTCTTGCGCAATTTACTTCCCAAAACGAAAACCCAAAAGAGCTATAAAATTTCTTCATTAGTTACTCTAGGACTCATCTGAGGCTATAGGGGTTGGATTAACATTTCTGATTCCAGTATCGTCTTTTGAACTTTGACCCAAATGATGATCGTCATAAGACTACTGCTTTCTTGTTTTGCTTTATGAGGTCGTGCTTTCATCCTCGTATATTAAGTTTGCTGGGAGTTTGATCAACTTGGTTCAAAATGTAGGTTGTCTTATCGGCTTTTGATGCAGACGCATCACTTGATGTTTTGGATCATCCGGTTTTGAACGTGATCTACTACATGGTAGTCTACTAAGCTTGTTTATTTACAGAGCTAATTTTCCTTTCTTATTCTTCAAACTCTTGCTACTTTTCGCCTTTAAAATTTGAACCATCTGTCCTCTGCAGCTGGTTGAGATCCTGCCTTCAGCACTAGTCCTTTACATCTTGCGCAAACTGCCCCCCAAGAGGGTATCGGCTCAGTATCATCCAATCCGTTAGCACAATTCGCCTTTATTCTTTATGTTATTTTTGCCCCTCTAGAATTATTCTTTTCGGATTTGGAGTTTGGTGGAGTTTGGTGCAAATGAAAGTGAGCGGCGGAGAGGAAAGCTAGAAAAACAGTCCAGATGTAGAATTCCGGCGTGGCTCATGCTGCCGGCATTTTTTTTAGACGTATGTATATTACACATCTCTCTAGAGCTAGCCAAGGGAAGATAATTGAATCAATTCCATGGTTATTTTGACAGTTAGTGGTTTATTCGATCGACGTTGTGATGGAAAGGAAATGTTCATGTAATTTTATTATTGTAGGTTGTGTTTCTATTTGTTTTTAGGGTTACACTTACACATCACGGTTATGTTGAAGCTCAAGTGATTTGTTTTCTTTGCCCCCAGTAGACAATTGATTTGTAATAATATAAGCAGATCGTTTTTTTTTATTTATTTTTTTTATCATGGATTCATGCTTTGTTTTTGATAAACTACCACCGCTAATTGCATATGACGCAGCATCTTGGCTCGTTTGGAATTGCTTCTGAAATGGCGAGAAGTGTTTTGTCAATCAAAAGTGCTTACCGTGGTATTTGGCATAAAAACACCTACATTGGGCACTTCCACATGCTTTTTCATGGTGCACTTAATCTCAACGTGGTTGTAGGTAAAACGCTTATGGACAGAAGCACTTCATATAGTAGCAACCATAAACGAACTCGTGGTAACGGGAGAATAAGTAGTATTAGATGTGCATATTATCGAAGAAACTATATTAGATCGCAACTACAGAGAAAAGAGACTTTTGATTGCGCATTGACGAGCTTTCAACTGTAACAAGTTACTCAAGAAAAAACTATTAGCATATCAGTGAAGATCTTTCCATATATTACAGAGCCGAAAATTCATCCTAAATGCCGGATAAATATCCCAAAAGCTATAACCCTCATCAACCTGGCTTTCCCCGAGATCTGATTAATCTTGGTGAAGTTCCTCCACGGGTGGTGGTGCAAATCTCACATTTCCTGGTCGTGCCACCACAACAGGGTCATCCGCAAACAGTGCTTTGATAAACGAAGGGGTTCTCAAGGGCCGGCGACCTGTCATTCGTGGGTAAACATCTTCCAGAAAGTAATAGGCGTGACCGGCAATCATTCCCTGATTCAAACCAATAAACATACAGAGAAAGGATTAGTGGATGAAAACCCCGAAACCTTAAAGAATCGTTGTATAACTGGTCCGGCAGATTCATAAACGATTTGTGCATGAATTATCATACTGATTTTGAAACTATCAGTACACAACGTTATACACAGTCAGTAAGTTGAGATGCTCAATTGATATATCAAATCAGTGCAAAGTCTTAGAAGAGATAACCAACCAAAAGATCCACCCAAGGGCTAGCTCCAACAAAGACGGAGAACGTCAGAAGAACCTGGAGGAAAAACGAAACAGACATTAAACCATAGCCAAGGATGCAAGGGTTACTCATCATATCTGAATCGTTTTCACGAGTACTTGTCTTAGGATAAACATCAAGAGATTAATACCAACGACAACGAGATAGATGTTAACAGAAATCAATAAGGAAATATTAAGATTACTGACCCAAGGTAGGTAAGCTGCTGTGAAGGTAAAGAGGCCCAAGAAGCTCATATGAATGAATGGATTTTGCTTGCTCCACACGTAGACCTATGAAATAGGAATGCATAAGAGTTCACTAGAAACAAAACGAACATACCAAACTTTGGAAACAAATCCATTGAAACCCAACAAAGAAAATATATCGAACCATCATGAATGTTAGTGAGTTGCTGAGGAATATAATCTTTGCAAACGACTCAGACAAATGAGGTATCATCCCTCCAACCAGAACTATCCCAGTCAACACAGTGGCACCAAATATGAGCATGTAAAAGAAATCAGCAGTCCGTCCTCGGAAAGAGTTCTCTTCGAGAAGCTTGCAGTACCGAGCAAGAAAGAACATGTGGAACATGAAATCCAAGTCTGGCAATGCCGAAATATAAAACCATGTTAGGAAAAAACAACCAGTGACAACTAAACGACACGAATTTCCACCCCTACAAATGGAAGCATTTTAAAAGTGGACAGCAGCAATTACCCATTTTCCGGAAGTAAAGGAAATTAGTAACGAGGCGCCAGAACTGATACTGCTTGACCACTAGATTAGGGTTCAAGTACAGATTGTGAGGAGAGATTATCTGCAAAAGTTTTACCATTTGAACGAAGAAAGCCATCAGTCAACAAAGAGAAAGAAGTAGCTATAATAACTACATAAAACCTTCCAAACTTCCAACAAATCCTATCAAGCATGAAAATTCAACAGAGAACAAATTAACATTTACGAAATCCAGAACAAAAATTAGAGAAAAAAATAAAACTAATGCCAGAATTTAACCCAGCTGACAGATTTTAAGCTCCATCAAAGAACTAGATAACACTAATTAACAATTAAACATCTACATAAACGCAATATTTTCAAGACAATCATTCCTAAACAAATTTGCAAAACCCATAACATTCAGCTGCCCAAGTAAAAATCAAAGCAATAACAAACAAATTTCCAAACTTGAGCCAAACCCCAATTGAAATTGGACAAAATCAGAAGACCCCATTTGCACTGAACCAACAGGGACAATTCTAGAGCGAGAAAGATAGAAAATTTTCAATGAGAGAGAGAGAGAGAGAGAGGCATACGTCGAGGGAGCAACCGATGTTGGTGACAACAGCCGCTGTGAGGTACGAGCGGGTGATGACTGGCATCTGCTTGTACCATTCTTCGACTGCCTGAGCCATGATTACGCAATCAAATTACAGCTCGAAGCAAAATCTGACCAATTTTTTGAGGGTTTGGAAATTTTGCAGAGAAGATTTTGAGATGCGAAGAGAAGAGAAGATAAGTCTCGAGAGACGGATTTGTTCCTCTCGCCTGAACTGGGAAATGACAGATGCAGGACCAATGAGAGAGCGAGTGACTACCACGAACCAACCAGCTTGTTTCTCTCCGGTTGGATTCGAAGGCGCTTATTCGATAGTATTTGGACTATTCAGTTTTTGGGCTCATAGGCCCATGGGCCGCATAAATTGGAATCATCTGCGTTTTTGTTGGATTTTTTTTTTTTTTTTAACAAACGAGAATATCTATACTAAGAGGAAGAGGTGTGCTTAGTCTCACAATCGACTAGGAATAATGTGGTTAAAATTAACCTTTGGCGAGAATTGAACCTAAGACCTTTCAATTACAAGTGAAGAGGAATACCATTAGACCGTAGTACTAAGTGGATGTTGGAATTTTTAATTTTTAATTTTGTCAATAGTTAGGTCGGATTCCAAAAGGAAAAGGAAAAGGAGGTGGGGAAGTTTCGAACCCGGTTGAGGAGCGTTACTAGAGAACCTGATTTTCTCAATGGCACTAGCACTCCTACATACTTTCAACAGAAAAATTGATTGGGTTAATAGTACTACTATTGTCCTAAGTGATCGGTCTAGTTCTCTATAGGTCAGTTTACAAAAGTTCAAAACCGTAATTAAACTAAATATTTAGGGTTTGTTTAAAAGTGATTTGAAAATGACTTAAAACGCTTGTAGAGAAAATGTTTTTAAGTTCCAAAAGCACTTGAAGTGCTTCCTTAAAGAATCACTAGCCATGTGCTTCTTTCAAGAAGCACTTCAAATGTTTTTTCAAAATTCACTTATATTTTTACTAAGAATTTTTTATAAAAATATTTTCATCAAAAACGCTTTCAATCCTTTTAAAATTCAAACAAACCCTTAGTAATTACTAATTAGCATTCTTTATGGTGTTCCTGCTTCTCTGTTATTGGGCTCATTGTCCTTTGGGCTTCTTTGGGCGTTGAACGACGTTAGGGTCGGTTTGGTAATTTGGTTATGTGAATCACGCGCGACTAGTGGCAGGGCAACTTGTTGAGTTCCACAACCACAAAGTGTAAAAAGTACTTTGGTTGGTTAGGATCTAATGCGGACACGACAAACGACAATTTGCCGGAGTTACAACTGGGCCGTTGGGGTCATGATTACATAGTGGTTGATGCACCTCAGATTGAATGTTGACGTATAGGCATGTGATGAGGTTGGTTTGATAATCTTTTCGTTTTTGTTATTTATTTTTATTTTTTTAATAAAATTGATTGGAAATGGAGGAGGAAAGAAGGGACGAAGAAGAGCGGACGAAGAAGAGTTTTTAGATTTTAGTTTTTATTTTATGAAAAACTAATGAAAAATGTTTGAAAATTTTAAGTTTTAATGATAAGGACAAAATAAAGGGTAAAGTGAATAATACCAGATTGACTTTTTAACGTAAAAATATGGTTTTTTAGTTAAAATGAACAGTACCAGAAGTTTTTCATTAAAATTCCTATTATTTATGGAAGCCATCGAATTTTTTAGGGTTGATCGTCCACGTTTCAAGAGGATTCATCCAAAAACTCCCTTTATCTCATACTAACAATATAAATTTGTTTATTTTAACCTTAGCACATAGATAGTGACTTCCCTCAACTTTAACTTTTTATCTTCTTTTTTTTTTTTTTAATAATAAAATTAAAAACCTTCCTCTCGTGATTAGAATTTTTCCCTTCAATTTATGAATTGTGAATTTAAACTTTTGTTTTTTTTGGACAACCCAATTTCCGGATTATTTGTCGGTAACGCAAACAACACAACGTCACCAAAATATTCAGGTAATTGGACGAGACAACGCGATCACTATATCCTCCAAGTCCTTTTCAGTTGTCAATTTGAAGGCACCTAATCTTGTGGTCCTTCCAAGAGACTAGATTTTGGAAAATATCTAACCACATTACTTCGACCCAACACATAATCCCATGAACCGTCTTTTCTTCTCATGACTTGCACATTTCCTCTCTATTTTTGTTAATAGGTATTCCCATAACTTCGAGCCGGAAGGGTTTATACGTGATATCTAACTGATAGCTGTCACAAGTATAAACTTACATATGACAGATCACGCATCAACGAAAACTGCTAACAACGAGACTCAAATCTTGGTAGGATGTGACATAAAGCAAAGACCTTACAATTTAAGTCAATTTTCGCGCCGATATTATAAAACATTGCATCAAAATATAATGTGACAAAAAATCTATAAAAAGTCTCACTTTTAACAAAATATCTGTAACATTTCTCGTAATCTAATATCATTTGTCATAAGACACAATAGTCAAAGTTTCACCTAAATCGGTAACGAAGTGGGACTTGGCTCAAAATGATATAGTAACTCATCATTCTACTAAATCCAATTTGTAGCAAACCAAAAAAAAAAAAAAATTAGGCAAAAACCAATTAAATAAAACATCATTAAACATAATTTCAAATGGCAATAAATTAAAGATAAACCAACAGAACATAGTCTAAACATTTGTACAATAATGTGACAACTCAAATCAAGCACAATCCACCAATGCTTAGAATTATTAAAAGAAAAAAAAAAATTAGAATCCCAAAGACTAAATTATATTATCTTTAAATAATCTTATTTGAAATTAAGCAGCCCTTGCAAGAACTTGAAGCCTCTCTGGCACATCAGCTGGCTCAATGAAGAAAGCCCTCCTCAAAGATCTCGGCACTGTGACCGTCAACACTCCGTCTTCGTATCTGGCTGAAATCCGTTCGATATCGGCCTCAGCCGGAATCAGGAATTTCCTCATGAAGGTCCTGCTAGGCTGCTCTGTGGACTCCTCCTCCTCCTCCTCCTCAATCCTCTGTGTTCGAATTATGAGGTATACCTGAGTCCCTCCACTTGTACTTTTATCTCCTCTTTCCTCACACCTGCTCAGATGTCACGTATAACAACCACCAGTTTTACCGAAAAAAGTGCGTGAAAATCACTTTCCAAAAAAAGAAGGACAAAACAAAAAACCAACAGAAGAAAAATTGGGTGGAATAATAAATTGGTAAGTTGTCAAAGTATAAACAACTTCCCTTCATACAAAGTGGATGCCACTGTTGTGATATCCCAGGCGAATCTCAAACTGTCACGTTAGATGGTTAAAACAACGTGACTATGTGTGATTCGCTTGAGATATGGTCACAATCCGACATCCATGTAGGTAAGTTTCTCTCATAAACTAAGAGGGAGAGTTAAAATTACCGGGGAGGTCAACGGAGAAAATGTGAGACTCAGGGGTCTCAGTCCAGTGCACATAGTTTTCGGGTGCCAAATGATATGGGTAGATGAGGTGAGAAGGGAAGAAATATTGGTAATGGTGGAAGGCTGGGATCTCCATTAGCTGCTTTAATTTACAAAAGCCAACAGAAGGAGTGCTTTTGAGCCAACAAGAGGAAGTGCTTTTGCAAAAAGTTAAAAAGTCTGCAATCATAAAATGGGATGAATGGGGAAGGAGGAGGCGGCTTAATAGGGAGGTAAAGGTCGGTGGTTGGTTGGCTTTTATGGAAAAGGTTATGGAAAAGGAAACAGCGTACATTGTGCGGTCAGTTTTCGTTAGGTAATATTTATATTTAATTTTAAATTTTAAATTTTAAAATAATTTCTGACCGCACGATATACGATGAACGATCACGATTACAGAATTCCTAGGATTCCTAGAAAAATGATCCACTGAGGATCCTTTTCCGGCTTTTATATAGGCCCTATTGGCCAAACTGGGGTTATGGGCATACTTGGACTAAGGGTAGCTTTATTTTTAGTTGTCAATTTTGATATTGTTTAAAAAACACAACTCGGTACATCAAATGTAATAATACAATTAGTTCTTTTTAGTACAACGATAATGGGCATACTTGGACTAAGGGTAGCTTTACTTTTAGTTGTCAATTTTGACATTATTTTAAAAACACGTCTCGGTACATCAAGTGTCATAACACAATTAATTTTTTTTTAGTACAAAGATATATTTTACACTAAAGAGAGAGGGAAGTTCAGCTAAGTCATAGAATAGACAACTTAATTTTGGTATCAAATTCGCCATCCACAAGCTTCGAACCTAAGGCCTCTCACTTATAAGTAAAGAGTAATATCACCAAACCGTAGTACTGAGTGATTATTATACAAGTAGTTGGATACTTGAATTTTTTTTTTTTAACTACTGCTATTAAAACACTTGGTGTACCGAATCGTGTTTAGACTTAAAAACTTTTCTATCTTTGGTAAGTTGCTCAAAGTTTTTATCTTGCGGTGTATATGGTGCCATTTAAAAGTGCTTATTATCTAGTTTTATAACGTACGTACTTTTAAAATGCTTATTGTCAAATGGTTGGCAAAATAGCTACCTGAAAGGCAAGCCTCGCATTTTTAAGGAGGATTTATATTGACTGCCATGTAGATTGAAGTTTGAATAATGGACAACGTGATCTACATGTCATGAATTTTAAATATAGTCGAAGATGACATATATAAAATTCACCGGATATGCTAATTCACGTGTTGTAATATGGATAAACAATGTTACTGATTTTATAAACTTTGGATATAATCGTAATGAATAGACAGAAATGCAATAAGGTTGCGATTGCAATTCAATGGGACAAAAAATGTAATGCCAAAAATACAACTATCTTCATGACAGGAGAATTGAGATTGAATCTTGAAATTCCTTGGTTACCAACTCATGTATTTACTCCGAACACAAAACCATTGCTGTAAGAAGGAAGATTGCTAGAAGGTACGTGATGTTTCACCGGCGAGCGGAAAGGATTTGGCGTCACAGGATGTGTGATATGCAGTCCAGCACTTCGTAGAACCTGTTTCCCGTTTGCGCACGAGAGTTCAGATTGATCGGTGAAGAATGCTGGGACGCCCATGGACTTGATTGAATTAAGAGCTCCGCCCCAATTTGCATAGCTATCCAATCCACAGTTCAGTGCAACAATGACATGGGGAGGAGGGAGGTAGGAGGCTTCCTCCTGGTAAACACCCTTGATGAGATTCATCCTCACTCTGCTACCGATCCCTGAAGTTGTCCCTGACAAATTTGTTGGAACTTCAGAACCTACCATAACGATTTGCACGTTCCCCAATCCATTGAGCAAATGACCAACCTCTGCAAATGCCGGCATCCAATCCAACTCTCCCTCTGGCCCTAGGTAGTGAACAATCACCTCCTTGCCCTTCTGCAGTAAGTTCTTCGAACTGATGTTGAGAGTTGTCAATATGTAGTAAACCGTCAAAGGGTGGGAGAGGATGTCAGCAACCGGGCTTGACAAAGGCAGTGACCGAATGTTGTAGTATTCTGACCAACCAGAGAGGAGGATTGGACTTGACATACCATCTCTTACATGATGTTGAAAAGATGAGTCGCGTGGAAACTCTTCATCGTCTAGCCCTCCCCAAAAATCCCAAAGTCCACCTTTAACAGGAAGAAGACCAAAAGGGCAGTGAGAATAGCAACTGCACTTTCTCCTCCACATGCCCTTCTGATGGACGCCCAGTGATTCAAGCCATTTACAAGGTTGGTCAGCATCACATGCGAACACAAAAATGTTCATTGCAAGCTCTTCTTCCCTTTCCATCATAGCCTTGTAAAGACCGCATATGCTCTTATGCGTTTCTTTCGTATGCTGTTTCTGGCAGACAGAACTGCAGTAGACCACTGCCTGACATCGTCCACAAGAGAGAGCCTGTTCACTGTGGACTTCTTTCTCACATGCTGCACACTGCTTTAAGCTGCCATTTGAGTAGACTCTTACTTCAACAAAAGTCTCCTCTTTTGATAGTTCTGCATATGTTGTTGGGGTAGAGCTAGCCGTTGAACTAGCCTTTTCTTCGTATGCCTGGCCAGGTGGGTGGGAGATTGTAACTGCGACAAGATCATAACCTTTGGCCACTTCTTGTGGCCATTGAACATCAACGGTCTCAATAAATGGTTCAAAGTACATTAACCTCGACCACTTTGGACAGCCTTCTTTGTCTTCCTGCAGCAATGGGTGCACCAGAGCTATGGCTTTCATGAATGCATACACAAACCTAAGCTCTTCAGAACTCGGATGCCTAAACCTAAGACTCCCCGATGACGTGTATCTGGCAACATCAATGACAGGGAAGCGATCACTCCCTGACACTTCCAGCGACAAAGATTTGATCATTTTCCTATTCGAGGGAAACATCAATGCCTCGCGTTCATATGTGACCCGTAAAAGCTCAACACTGGGCACCTGAACTGTCTCCCTCGAGCCTGTCATCTTCTTGGCATCACTTTGAGATCGAAACATGTGAAACCCTATATCGCCGGCATCCCCTCCAACGAATTGAACACAAGGAAAAGGCTGTTTCTTGCCAGACCAATCTGCATCTTTCCCAACCCGGACACCAAAAATATGCCCGGGACACAATCTTTTCCAGGGATGAGTCCTATACAAAGCTGCTGAAGCTTTAAAAATGGACTTAATAAAATTTGGAGCAATGCCTTCTACCTTCATAAGACATGTCCCTGATCCGGGACCAAGGCCCGGACCGGACCCAAATTGCTCCTGGAATCTATCAAACAAGTTCTTCAAATGCAAATCCATTTCGATTTTCGACTTCACCAACCCAGTGCAAAGATGTAACCAACTCCTTGATCACACCAGTAAAAACCCAAATAAAAAAATGACTACCCTTTTCTTTGCTTCATGTAAAAATCGATCATATCCAATGAAATCCAAAATTTCCCAAAAGCTTCCGTTCGTTCATATATATTGCTTGCAACACAGAAAACCCATAAACTCTACAGAATCCAAAGTACGGGAGGTGTGATAATTCACTTCAACGGCTACTAAACTACATGAAAATCCCAATTAAATTTAAACAAATGGGGATCAAACGAATTTATAGAACTTGATGAATGAAAATATTAGTGATCCGTACCAGTAAAAAGTTGGAGACTTTACTTCTCTCTTTTGGGTGCTCAGATCCAGCAGGAGATTGAAGAATTTGAAGCTTTTTTGTTGGCAAACACTCGCAAGTCGCAAGTGAGAGTGAAGCTGAAATCTATCGACTCCGAAAATTAATAAAAAAATTTACTGTGCGGGCCATCTGTGTTGTCGTTTCATGGTTTTCATTCGTCAAACCTGTATTCACCATTGTCGGGCTCATATGAAAATAGGCTTAATTATTGTATTGGCGCAAGTATTCACTTCTGGATCTCTTCCTCCTCACCATGAAGTTCGGAGGAATCATTGAAATTTGATCTAACAATTAAAGTTATTATAACTTTTAAAGTGGATCCCTATTTGTAACCGTTTGATCAAATTTTAATGGTCTAGATCTCTGAACTTGGTAGATTATAAAGAAGAGATCCAAAGATGATCCATTTTCATTTGCTGAAATTTCACATTACTACATGAAAGTCACGATTACTCACTTTTTGCCCTTTGATTGATGAGATAAAAGCTTCACTAGGACGGTCAAGTCACTCCGCCAATGTATTTGACTGTGTACATCGAGAGTTGCACTGACACATGATTCATTGATATTAAATCGAATGCAGTGGTTTTTGCGTCTGTTATGACAATGCTTGACTATCTAACTCGTTATGCTGTGTTAAATTTAGATTTTTCTCTTGATTGATTTTTGTTGTCTCATTTTGTGGACTATTAGTGGTGTATTGAATATGTGATGACCAACGGAGTTAGTATTATAATGGAGTCATGATTTTGGCAAGAAAGAAAGAAAGGAAAAAAAAAAAAAAAAAAAAAAAAGGGCACCTTCATTGAACCATTTCATCGAGCACTAAATAGAAACTTATCAATTATTGCCAACATATGCCAATGACCGCATGCTGGCACTGCCACCGATGATGACTTTTGAAGATATTTCTTCTAAATATATTGTTTGTCATAGTTTTTCATACGCTGCGGGTGCTGCTATATACTCTGTATTCAGAATTGGTATAAGCATCATATGTTGCAATTGTAAATAGTTACCGACAATATCCGAAAGGTACAAATTAAAACCAGAGCAGAAACGCTTAAACTGATACTAAAAACCATCCTCAGATGTCAAATACTAAAGAAAAAAAAAACTATGACACTATTAACTGTCTCGTTCTCATACGAAAAACTTAAATCATTGACGTTGCCACATGGATCTACGATTGCGCAGGTGGAATGACATCTTCGACGTCACACTCCACGCTGCTAATGCCATCAGAAGTAGGGATTTGAAGTTCGGCAGTTCCTAGAGGAATAGATCCTTCTGCAGCAATGTTTGATACGGATGGCATACTAACAGGTGCAGCAGACGGAGTTTGGTTGAGTTCGAAGTCCAGGCTCTTGACCGCATCATGAACCAATGAACTATTTTCAGGACCGAACTCTGGAGGTTGGATTTGAGAATCCTTACATAGGGTTTCAATGCCTGTTATGACAGCGACAGAGGCAGGTTCGGCAAATATAGAAGTTTGGTTGAGCTCGAGATTTGGGCTCTTTGCACCATCATGACCCAATGCGCTCTTTTCATTTTCAGAATCCACGGCCTCAGCTTGAATTTGATGATCCTTAACTTCAGTTTCAACGACTGGCATGACAGAAATTGCTCCGGGTTCAGCAGACGCAGGTGTTTGGTTGAGTTCACCAACTGGCATGACAGTCATTGCTGAGGGTTCGGCAAATACAGGCGTCTGGTTGAGTTCAAGTCCAAAGCTCTTTACTTCATCAGCAAATGATGTACTCTTTTCAGAACCCACAGCCTGAGTTTGAATTTCAGGAGGCTTACACACAGGTTCAACGCCTGGTATGTCAGCAACTGGTTCAGCTCTTGTTTCTGTTTTTGATGCTTTATTGGCCTCGACACCATTTGGCCCTTCCATTACTGTGGCAGCTTCAACTTCCTCCAACACTTTCTCCTGTTCAACAACATTATTATGCTCTGGCTTTGGCATCGCAGGGGTAGATTGGCTATCAGTTCCAGGTTCCGGAAATTGTTGTGACATGACTTTTCTTCCCAAGGGTAGGCCCGCATCATTCTTCGGCAAATTAACAACTGGAGGAATCACAAAAAGGAAAGATTTGTTTTCAAGTGACTCTGGGATTCCAGACTGAGGGACAGAGGATTGAGTTTGGTTAGGAACTGTAGGTATTTGGGGTTTCACATCAACAGGTTGCCTATTACTTTGGTCTGATGGGCGGGCAGACTCATAACGCTGAGATTGTGGGTTGAGAGGCGGTAGGGGAATTTCTCTTCTTTTGCACATCCTAATATGAGGAGCAATGTCATTTGCTGGTGTAATGGGAGTGATTTTCTCCTGTAGGAATACAACACCCCTCAGCTGAGTGTCAGTATCTCCGACCCTAACATTCAGAAGATATCCAGCATCGAATGCCCCTTCAATCACGCCAGTGACTACCTGGCCTACCATTTCATTCTCAACATCATCACTTGTACTTGCACTCTGTTTGGTTTTCTTCAAACCGTCAGCTCCTGGCATCACAGTTGGACTCTCTGCCGGAGCCAAGTTCTCATCCTTACGTGGACGTCCACGTTTTCGCTTCATAGGGGGGTCTGGCGAAGATAAAGAGCCCGTTCCTTGACTCTGTTGATTCATGCTGACAGATTTCACCTTTTAAAGTTTTCCCCTGCAACGAAAAACGTAATTTCAGAATATTTCCTAACACATGGTAACTGGAAACCTTATAAAATGTGAGTATGACTAATATAATATTGTATTACCAAATTATAATACGATTGGACTACAAATGGAAGGAAAAGAAAGTGAAATGAGTACAAATGGTAACCCTAAGTCCTGAACCAGAGAGACAAAGCTATTCCTCATATCAGCATGATATTGTTTTAGCTCAATCAACTTAGAAATAAAAGTTTTAAGTTTAATAATACTAACAAATAAATTTAAATATCAGTTAAATTAATTGATTTATACCACTCAGAAAATGCTACAAAAGTCTAATTGCAAAAGACCACAGATAGATCTCTCGATCTTAAGATCGACACCTATACTGCTATATACCTTAAGCAATTTACAAATATATCAAAAGTTTAAGGTTCATGCAATTGTTTTAGCTCAATCAACTTAGAAGCAGAAGTTTAAATTTAAAAACAATAATAAACAAATATCTCTCTCAAATCAAATTCATTTAAATCTGAAATCACACTCAGGAAAATGCTAAAAGAGTCTAATCTGCAAAAGATCACATACAAATCTCTCAGGAGGTTCAGATCTCCACCTACACTGTTACACCTCAATCAAATTACAAATATATCAAGTACAAAGGTCATGCAATAACCATGCAATTAACAATTAGTCTAATAAAAAAATCACAACAAAAGATCGGTGCTAAGGAGGTCTAACTTGAAAGAAAAAAACTCAGATAGAAATCTCTGAATCATTAGTTCTCCACTGATTACAAAGAAAAACAAAAAAAAAAATATCTCAATGGATAGAGCCAAGGTTTTGAAATTCTCACCAAGATCTATGACTGGAATGAAGGATTGAGTAGTAGGTCTAGACTCTTTCACGCTTGTGCTAAATAAGAATCTTTAATGGATAGATAAAGAAGAGAGAGTGGGGAGCAGCGGCGGAGAAAAAGAGAAAAACGTTATGTCAAGCCAGTAACAATTTTACCTAAACAGAAAAATAACCATCTATAAATTTGGGCTGGGAGCTAGGGAAAAACGCTATGTCAGGCCTGTAAAGTAGTCCAAATTTTTGTTACTCCAAACTCATCGTAGCCCAATCCATTGAAACCTTAGGAGCAGGAATGTCCTCCTAAACGCACAGTCCAAACACCCCTCACCCCCACCCCCTATCATGTTAACCTTTGGAATTTCCAAGTCGAGTTATTTCCTAGTTCCTACCAGCGGGAATTTCAATGAAGAGTAAGTCCAACTTTCCTTTCTGGACACCCTAAACTTCAGGCTCAACACAGAAGCATTGGAAGCTCCACTTATAGCTCTACTTAAGTATACGAATAAAAGATAAGATATGATTTCATGCATGTATAGAACCATCCTAGTTTTATACAATCATCGATGATATTGAGTTCTGAGGGAGGTATTGAAAGTTTAGAATCTTCTGAACAAATGTTTAGACACAAAGAAAGACCGAGAAAGGAGAGAGACAGAAAGAGTAACTTGGCCACTTCAATCATAACCATGTCCTTCATTTCTTTATTTGGTCATAAGAATCTGCCAAGATGATAATGCTAAGATTTAAGAGTTTGCACAATCGCATCCCCAAAGATGCTGAAGCATTAAAGAGGTTTAAGAGACTATTATAGGATCTCATAGTTCGATACTTTATGTTGTAAGTTAGATTCAATAAAAACACTAGCCTAGCATACAAGCAGCATTCAAGATATTAAAAAAAGACAGAAACCAACTAAATATACCAGAGAATTTGACCGATCAAAAGCCAACTCAACAAATGAACCCAATTCCATCAATGAATGACCTAAAGCAGCAAAAGCTTTTGTGTTCCTCCGAAACATATGCACCACACAACACAGATTACAACCTTATCATATTTCCCCAGAAAGCTATGCCACCGTTATAAAAGAAAGTTGTGATCATGTCCTGACATAATCTAATTAAACTACCAAATTATAACATACAACTCCATAACTCCTAGGCTAAATGAGAATGTAATAGTAGATGATAAACCGACTTCCCTGCAACCTTCCACATGTAACACTTACACCAACACTTTCCTCTTATGAAGAAACTGTTGATAAATAGTTTCCCATAAATGGAATTAAATTCTTACATTATTGCAAAAACAAGAGTTGAACAAAATACAGTAAATGATACTATCATGGCTTGATTTTGTGCACTGCAATAAAGTAAGCTAATAAGATGTCAGAATTTCCTTATCTCTCAATGTTTTCTTCGTTCTCACCGCTATGTTCTTGTTTCTCCGTTTATGTATCATACATTCTCATTCATAAAACGTTTAAACCCTAATATTCTATGCAGAGTGTCCCATATTACAAGTAATAATAAACCCAAAAGCAGACTAAATATGAACCCAAAAAGCATTAGCAGATATGGGTTAGGCCAGTTGGTCCGAGCAGAGTGTGCCCGCCTCCTTGCACCTAAGTTCGAATCACCCCGCAGATTAGAGTTTATTAAAAAAGATTCAATCTTTGAAAAAATAAAATAAATACAGAACAATTTTTTATGGAAACAAACAGTCATTATTGTCCACTCCAAAACTCATCTCACTCGAACCAAAATAAAAAATATAAAAATCATGTAATTTCACAAATATATGAAAATTTCTCTCTGGTTCATCAGATCAAAAACCCTAATGCTACCTCGATCAAATTATAGTAATATTTTTCAGCGACGAATTTAAAGAAATTAAAACAACGATGCAACGCCGGCAGAATTGTAATCACCGCAATGTCGACAGAGGAGGAAGAGGCACTTACATGCGGCGGCCGGCGACGGCTAGGAAACGAGAGGCGGGATCAAATCAAGGAAATCCAAATCCGCGGCAACGGTGGGAAAATCAATTTCTCTGTCGGTTTATTTTATTTCTCTCTCTTATTCTTGGGCCGCTTTAATTGTGGGCCCGGATTAAAGTTTTGTTTTGGGTATCAGATTCGCTAGACCCGGGTTTTGGCGCTGCACTCAAACACCCGGGAATACACGCTCACCATGAACGAGTTATTAGTTTGTTAATTCATTGTTAATGGCCAAATTTCACTAATTATTCTTGTGTTTTATAAGGCTTAAATGTCAAAATTGTCTGTGTGTTTTATCCTATCGGTCAATTTGGTACTCATATTTTCAATTTGATCAAGTTGATTTCTGTGTTTATCTTCGTTAGCCAATCTTAGAAAATTCGTTAAAGGACTGTTAAAATTGGAGTGTGCCTTGCACGTGAGAGGATAGAAATGTAACTTTACTGTATACTCATTAAATCCACGCAAGATCAAATGATCGATGATGACCATCTCACGTGCAATGCACACGTCAATTTTAATGGTCCTTTAATAGATTTTCAAGAATTGGCTAACCAAGGTAAACACAGAGACTAATTTGGCCTAAATTGAAAATACGGAGACCAAATTGACGGTAGGATAAAATACAGGGACCGTTTTAACATTTAAACCTTTTCTTTAGACACTCGATATTATCTATACTAATTGATAAATGAGTAAGCAACATTTTTTTAGTACGCAAATGACCATGAAAAGTGGAGGGGTGTTATTTTTCCAGGAATTTTCAATGCAAGCTAATAAGATGAAGATCAAAAGTAATGACTCAAATTTTTATACCACAAAAACAATGTTGCACCATCGCAGTAGCGAAGAGCCGGCCCAAACGGTAAAAGCGGTACGTGTGTTGCACACGACACATCTATGAAATCTATGGCCACGAATTGAATGCCACAACCACAATTTTTCACTTCCGTCTCTCCAATTGTCTCTCTTGTCGTCGCGTCTTCCCCGACTTTCTCTGAAGCTCCTGAGCCACAGAAACAATGGCGTCTCTGCTAGCCAACGGAATCTCCAGCTTCTCTCCCCAAGCTGCTTCAGAACCGCCCAAGTTCCCGAAAGGGTTTCACCCAAAGCTCGATTCCTTGAAGTTTTCGGGTCAGAAAACCTCTGCTCCGAAAAGGGTCTTTCGGGTGCGCGCAGATGTCGGGTACGAGCCGAAAACGGTTGAATCCGATCCGAGCACCGCAGGTAAGCTTTCGATTGAGGATTTCTTCGCAATCGCGAGTACGATAAGAAATTTGGGTTTAATATAGATATAGATTCGTTTTCGATTCCGAAAGGGCTTTCTAGGGAGACAATTGAGTTGATTTCATCGCTGAAAGGCGAGCCTGATTGGATGCTTGAATTTAGATTGAATGCTTTTGAGAAGTTTTTGACTATGAAGGAGCCCCAATGGTCTGATAATCGATACCCTGTAATTAATTTTCAAGATATGTGTTATTTCTCGGCCCCTAAGAAAAAACCCGCATTGAATAGCCTCGATGAGGCGGACCCGGAACTTCTTAAGTACTTTGATAGGTTGGGAGTGCCGTTGAATGAGCAGAATCGGTTGGCTAATGTTGCGGTGGACGCAGTTCTTGATAGCGTGTCGATAGCCACCACACATAGGAAGGCCTTGGAGGAAAAAGGTGTGATCTTTTGTTCGATATCAGAGGCAATTAGGGAGTACCCGGATTTAGTTAGGAAGTATTTGGGTAAAGTGGTGCCTACTGGCGATAACTATTATGCTGCCTTGAACTCTGCGGTGTTTAGTGATGGATCCTTTTGTTATATACCAAAGGACACTAAGTGCCCGATGCAGATTTCAACTTATTTCCGGATAAATGCGTTGGAGACGGGGCAGTTTGAGAGGACTTTGATAGTGGCTGATGATAGGAGTTTTGTGGAGTATTTGGAGGGGTGTACTGCACCGTCTTATGATACAAACCAGCTTCATGCTGCAGTGGTAGAGTTGTATTGTGGTGAGGGCGCTGAAATTAAGTACTCCACGGTGCAGAATTGGTATGCCGGGGATGAGCAAGGCAAGGGCGGGATTTATAATTTCGTTACCAAGCGAGGGCTTTGTGCTGGGGCTCGCTCGAAAATATCTTGGACCCAGGTGGAGACAGGGTCTGCCATTACTTGGAAATATCCGAGTGTTGTTTTGGAGGGCGATGATTCTGTGGGCGAGTTCTACTCAGTAGCTTTGACTAATAATTATCAGCAGGCAGACACAGGTACAAAGATGATACACAAGGGCAAAAATACAAGAAGTAGAATTATTTCAAAGGGCATATCAGCTGGGAATTCAAGGAACTGTTATCGGGGCCTTGTTCAGGTTCAATCCAAGGCAGAGAATGCTAAAAATTCCTCACAGTGTGATTCAATGCTTATTGGAGATACGGCAGCTGCCAACACCTACCCATACATCCAGGTAACTTCATTTGATCTTGTCTATTTTTGTTTTTGGCATAAGATGACGTGCATTGGTTTTTAATTTTATAACACAGACTGGCCTTAGCGTGATGGTTACTAAGAGTGATGATTTTTTTTAATTGATCCTTCATTGGATTGCTTTCATGCATTACTTTGTGTTACTCTGCCCTTCTGCTTAACCGTGTCCCTCCATTCTTGTGTTAAATGCATTTTGTTTTGATGGTCTGTACTCCATATGATGCTTCCTTCGACTCCTTAAAGAAGCCACTGTAGTTATATCAATATGAAAAAGGAACACCTGTGGGAGGCAAGGCATCAAGAGCCTGGTGTTCATATATAGGTTACTTTCTAGTCTGTTACTGAGGTTATGGATTAGACACACTGATGTGCAACTGTCATCATGCATGACCAACAAATATGAGCTACTTAGGCATGGCTTTATTGCAATAGGCGTTCGAACTATTTTCAGTACATTCAAGACTTTCTGTATCTGGTGAAAATCTAATCCTATTCTAGGTAGGTTTGAGAATTCTGAAGTTTTTCGGTCCTCGTCTTGCTCCAATTTATACTTTTGGGCTGATAATGGCATTCAATGGCCATAATTTCGGTGTTCAATGGCATTAACGCATATAATTCTTATGTTTGTCAATTGGAGGATTTGAATCTTGATTTGGCTGTTTTTGCATTGATTTCGACTTCAATTCCTTCCCAATATGCTGTTCGGCTTTTGTCCAGTTAGCGCCCGTATAATGTGGAACTATAATGGAGTACTCATTTATTGCTTCACTATCGTGTGTTTTTAACAGGTAAAGAATCCCACAGCTCGAATTGAACACGAAGCCAGTACCTCCAAAATTGGTGAAGACCAGCTATTCTACTTTCAGCAAAGGGGAATCGAGTATGAGAAAGCCATGGCCGCTATGATATCCGGGTTCTGCCGGGATGTATTCAACGAGCTCCCTGACGAGTTTGGGTCTGAGGTGAACCAATTGATTGGCTTGAAGCTTGAAAATTCAGTGGGTTAGATAACAGCACTGGTTTGGGCAAATAAGCTGAGTCGATGAAATTCGATCTTTTTGTCAACGGGTTTAAAATCCGAGTAGTTTGCAAGAACCGTTTTAACTTAATAGCTATGTACATAGATATTTGTTGTAAATGTTCATCCTCTGCTGTCGAAATACACAATGTAACGTACCGAGATAGAACACGATGCTGCACTAAACATTTCTTGTTATGAATTCATGTTAACAAAGGTGCCGTACTTGCATTGAGGCAACGAAACATACACGAATGATGAAAATCAATCCGCTTTTACACTCTTCTCCTCCGCCGCAGTTTTTGGTGCAGAACTTTTGTTTAACAAAAGTGTCATCTGATCGACAAAGAGCATGCTTTTCATTTGCTCCAGTTGTTCCCACTCTTTCTCCATCTGCAAATCTAACGCCTCGAAACGGATGATCTTCTTTCGGATTTCTCTCATCTGTACCTCTGTAATCCCGGAGATTGCTCGTCCCACATCCAGCCCTTCCTTCTCAAGCTGTGAATTTGCATCTACAAAAGCTGCCCCCAGTGCATCCGGGTCAGTTTTATCGTCTCCGTTTAATTCAGCATCAGTTTCATGCTGTCTTGCATTCGAAGCCAGAGATGTAACACTCATTTTGCTTGTTTCATAATCCGCCTCACACAGCGCTGTTACAGCAGCAGAAGCAGCAGCCTCTGCAACCTGCACGCCCGCCAGAGCTGACAGAAAGGCCGCCTGAGCCATAATTGGGTTGCTTGCATCCGCAAGAGGCGTGAGACGCATTCTTTTACTTAGAGACGGTGTTGTACCATCACCATCACCCTCCAACGCACATTCAGCATCACCTGCATTGTCAGAAAATTCCTCACCGAAAGGAATCTTGAGGAAATGAGCAACACATTCCTTCTCGCTTCTACCAACATGTTGCGCAACCTTCCTCCAGTCGTCGCCATAATGCATAAGGGCCTCTAGAAGATGCAGAGTATCTTTATCAGCCCAGCCACTCCCCATCTCTTCATTGATCTCAACCCGCCTGAAATCGGAAGAACTTATGCCGATCTGATAGTTTCCGCGAACATAGCACCTTGCACATAGAGTCATGTCATTCTGTTCCCAACAACAAATTGAAAACCTTAGTTGCAGCAAACCTTAGTATCAGCTAAAACACTTCATGGAATTGCAAAGCAAAATCGAAGCTAATCAATTCGAACAAGATCAAATGTTCCTTAAATTAATCAATTCGAACACGACAAAACGAAACCTATGAATTTCAAATAGTGGACAATTACATCAAAGTACTTCAATTCAATTCCAAATGAAATAAGGGTAGCAAGAGAATGACAAGAACAGACCTTTTCGGAAACAAAACAGGCAATGCTGCAAACAGACTTGCAGCCATTGCAGGTCCTCTTCTTGGGGTTCTCCTTGGCACCGACGGCGGGGGATTCAGCGCCTCCGTTAGAGGAAACACCGGCGGCCTTGCTGCTGTCCTTGTCCTCCCACTTGAGGGGCTTGTTGAGCGCGGAAGGAGTGTAATTGATCAAACCCCACGCCTCGAGGAAATCGAAAACCCTCCGAACGGAGCCGACGTCGCCGACGAGAGACTTGCGGGCCTCCGTGAAGGTGAGCTTCCGAGAAGGGTTGACGGCCCTGGATTGGGCGACGATGGTGTTGCGGTAGTACTTGTAGAGGGTAGGGTTTTTCGAAGGGGATCGAGAATCGAAGAACTCGGGGAGGAATCGGACCTCGCAGTGGTGGATGTGGTCCGGCGAGAACCAGCTGGAATAGCTGGGGACGTGGATGACGTCGGCGTCGGAGGTGGGACGCGGTTGAGGATGGCGGGGAGCGGCGGTGGTCGGAGTCTCGGGATTGGCGGGGATCGGAAGAGGAGTGGGTGGGGGTTTGGATGGGGTGTCGGAGGAGGAGAGGTCTTGGGCCGCTGATTTGGTAGCCATGGGATTTAGCGGATCTGAGGTTTCAGCCGATTAGGCTTTTTCTGTTTTCTATCAAATTTTGAGAGTTTTAACTAAACGCTCTCGATACTCTTTATTTTTAACAAAAAATTACATTTTTATCTTTTTTGGTATTATTCATTACACATTTATTTGTTCTTTTTTATTAAAACTAAAGTTTTTTTTGGACTTTTCGTTAGTTTTCCTTTAAATTTTAGATTTAACTGTATTTATTTTACACCTCCCAAAATTTGATGTGTTTTTAAAATGGATCACGAAGTTTAATTTTTTTCATATTGAACTTTAAAGTATTGAAATTTTATCAATATGTGTTTTTGGTATGATTACTTGTATAATAATTATTAAATTGATGAAAATCTTTTATGAGCTAACATATATGTACAATTTGCACTACATTGATAAAAAAAAAACTCATTGATTTAAAGAACAATTGGAAATTTAAAGAGACAGGAGATGCATATTAGTACAATTTCAAAATTTTAAAATGTAATGTGAGAAAATTAAAATCTCGTGTTCTATTTGAAAATCACCACAAACTTGAACCGTGTAAAATACCGTAAGCCCTAAATTTTAAGTGCTTTTGGTAGGCCTGTAAACAGAGTCGAGACCCAACTGGCCTGGCGGAGCCTAGCCTTATTTTTTATGTTATGGGCTGGTCCGGCCATTTAATTACTAGAGCCCAAAAATTTAGAATCGAGTAAGGTTTAAATCTTGACCTCTTAAGCTCAGCCCAACCCGACCCAATCTATAGGTCTAGCTTTTGGAAATTTTTTTTTTAAAAAAAAGCTAACAAATGAGTTGAAGAATTCTAATTGCTTACTCTGTTTTACTTCCTAGACATCCTTTTTTAATTTTTGGCCGTATGAACAAATGAGTTGAAGAAAATTAAATAACAGAAGTTAATAAAGTTGACACTTATTATACCCCTCATTAGAATTGACACTTATTTTCGGCCGTAGTGGTCAAAATGTGTGTGCGGATAACATCACCCTTTCATTATATTCCTCATTAGAATTGACACTTATTTCCAAACCGGAAATACAATAACACAAAAATGAAAATCTACATTCAATTACTGTCTAATTTAAACCACATAACAACTCCAAAAATTTTTATATCGTACTTCATGTAAACCCAGGACTCTATAGAAACTTTGACTATAAGTTATAACTCTGTAGGTTCAACCTGACTCGACCAGCTCCTCTTATTCCTCTAACTTCTTATCCTTACATTCTTCTTCTGGTAAATATTCCACCAACATTTTCTTCTCATCGTTTCCTTCAGTCTATCCTCATTCTTCTTCTGGTAAATATTCCACCTTCGTTCTCGTCGTGTTTTTGGGTTGTCCTCGTCAAGGAGTGGAGAGTACTGCAACTGGCCGCCAAGGCGTGGAGTGCCTCGGCCTACGAAGAGTTGGGCTTTCACTTGAAATAATAAATTGTTACGGTAGTGTACCCATTTTTTTTGTACTTAATTTCGAATTCTCTCTAAGTTATTGGGTAGCTTGGATTGTAAAAATATATGAAAATACTCAATTTGATTAAATTCTTTTCTAACACAAAGTTAAACAATTACATTAGTGTGTTATTTAAACACTTGTTGTGAACATCGCATTTAAGAATGAGAAAAATGAAACAAACTTAGAAAATTGAAAACAAAAATAACCAGTATTTTTTTGGAAAATAATTATAAATATTTTTATATGAAATAATTGAATGCTTAGTCCACAAGGAACTGATAATATTGATTTGATCTATTGTTTCGTGCTAATCCATTTGAAGAATGAGAAATGAATTGGGGAGGAGTGACCTATGAAACTGAACCAAATAATTTGAACACGAACCTTAGTTAGATGTCTGTGTGATGTCAATTACCAAATGCAAGCATGGTGTCTTACTTTTCTCTCAATTAATTGATGAAAACGTCTTCATCTTCTTGTCCCATGTGTATATATTTACAGCTTTGATTCATTTTATAAGACGATAGTTTAGTCTACTCTAATTTATGCAGAGAGAGATTCAGACGTAGGGATAAGAGGTTAGAACACGACTCTTTGATATAAATTTTTTATGCATCACTCGAACATATATATAAAAGTATGGAATAGGATCCTCTATGGATCTTATTTGTGAGGATCTCAGGTAGTGGCAGATCCAGAATTTTAATATAGGGTGGTTCTAATATAAGAGCTCCAAAAAAAAAAGATGAAAATAACATTGAAAAATAAATGGCAAACTACAAATTTTCATTTATATTCTTTGTCCAAACTAATCGATTTGCTTGTAATATCATTTCATACTTCTAATTTCTACACATAATCAATTGATAATAACATCTGTATCAATTGATGAAACTAAAAAAATATGTATGCACTAACACTGTAACACAATCCAAGTAATATCAGAAAATTCTAACAAATCAACAATAAATATGTATGAACAAACACTAAAATAGATATGAAAAAATCCTAAAAAATTAAAAATGAATAAGGCTGAACTTAGTTTAAAACTCATTAGTGTGTGATTGTTTGACTTTTTATCGAAGGCCCTTACCAAAAACCATTATCAAATACCCTTACATATATGTATTCACTGTTCAGCCTTTTGTTTATAATTAGTGTTCTTAAAAAAAAAAAAAAAAAAAAACCTAAAACTAAAAATCATAACAAATTAACAATAAATAAATAAATATATATATATATGAATTAATACTAAACTAGATAATTTACAGAAATTTTGAAATTGATGTTGATGGCCTTCGCTGGCTTGTGTAGTGTGAGAAACAGGAGCGGCAAGCAATTAAGTATATTATAATCGATAAAGTTGAATTTGATTGAAAGCAGACTAATGAAAAGCCATGAGCTTTTATTAAATTTCAAATTGTTTGACTTCTTAAGAGCAGCTCCAGCGGGAGCAACTGCTCGAGGGACATGCTGCGGAACAGTGCCTGATTGCCAGAGGGAGGAAGTCCAGCGTTGGCTGGCGAGCGAGCCCGAGCAGGCCCGAGCTCCAGGGCGGTGGATTCCTGCCAGCCCGAGCGCCCGAGGGCTGTCTGACGTGGGCTGACGTCGGCGTCCTCTTATTCGTCATCGTCGTCCTCTTCTTCGTCATCGTCGTCCTCTTCGCCCTCATCCGCGTCGTCGTCCTCGTCGGCGTCCTCCTCTTCTTCGTCTACGCTGTCGTCGGATTTGGACTTGAACTCGGACTGCGACTCGTACAGCTCCAATTGCTCGGCGGTCAAAGGCTTAACTTCTTTTTCCTCCACAACTTCCTCCATAGCCTTCATCCTCTCAAAGCTCACACAAATTTGCAGAGAAAATCTCCTCTTTGTATTCTTGAGAAAACGAATTGGGATTGGATTTGGGAAAGTGAATGAGACAGAGGGAGGGAGGGACGAGAGAGGAGCTGCCAATTGGGATTGGATTGCAAATAAAATTATTTTATAAATAAATAAAATATTAATATTTTATTACCAATTACCAGGGCTATTCAAGTGTAACGGTGGAGATACAAAAGGTGATTACTGTTTATTAATGGTAATTACTGTTCATGAGGTGGATTAAATAGTGAATAGCCAGGGGGAAGGGTTCCTACACTGGAAGTGCTCTAATAGAGGATGGTATGTGCTTTCACGTGAAGGCTCTCACTTGGGTTTTAAAATTTTTTTAATGAATGCAAAGCGACATCGTTTTGGTCAAGTTATTTAAAAAAAAAAAAAAAAAAAAAAGAAGAGGCATTCTTCTTGAGGTTCTCACAGCCATACATCCGCCCCTGATCCCATGTATTACTTCATCGTGTTCATTCATTTGTCATCTTGCGATAAAAAATCATTTTGAATTTTTTTTATTTAAAATTGAACACAAACAATACCTGATGAAAACTAATCATAAGATGTACAATGAACAGATTGATTTATGATGAAATAATTCTCAAGATCTTCACAAAGAGAATCTAAAAACGGATCCTCATCCATAAAAATACAACTAAACTGTAATACTGCATAGCTTCAAGTTTAAAAATCACTAGAAGAGATTCTCTCTAGATCGCTCCCACCAAAACCACCCAATCTATTAATCGGAGCTTTTGAAATTTGATCAAATAATTAAAATTATTATAACTATTAAAAGGATCTCTATTTATAATCGTTGAATCAAATTTTAAAGATTCGAATTAATAGATTTGATGGATTTGACTCCGGATCTCTTCCCAAAAATAGCAACTATCACTCTTGTATTTGTCAGGCTGAGGCCGGTGGAGGTTGACTTGAAAGCCAACATGTCCGTATGTCCTCCTCACTTTGCTTTGAGGTAGCGTTTGGTACGCAGACGGGACGGGACGGGACGGGACGGCACGGGACGGAACGGGACGGGACGGGACGGAACAGATGTTCTGTGTTATGTTTGGTACGCGCAGTACGGAACAAGACGGTTGTTCCGTCCTGCGTTTGGTACCACATGGACAGAACGGAACCAAAAGATTAAAATGACTAAAATACCCATGTTCCGTCTGTTGTTTGGTACAATTTTATGGGCGGAACGGGACAAGACTCTTATTTTTTTATTTTATTTATTATTATTATTATTTTTATATAAGTTGTTCAAATTTGAACATTATTATCCATTATTTATTTTTCTTGGTCCAAATTTTAATAGGTATATGTTATGTTTCACATGCAAACCCCTTTAAAATTTGTAATTTTTCCCGTTTTCTACACCTCCATTCGAATTTTCACCACAAACCCATCAAATTTTATTGTGCAAATTGCAAAACCCACATCCCAATTCAATTTTTAGTCCCTAATTTTGGTCCTTTCAATTGTGGGTTGTTGTTCAGGGAGTTTAGGTTCTACAAACATTAGAATTGGCCTTGTTTAGAAGGACATCCCTCTAAATATTCCCCATTGCAGGAACAAGGCAAACCACATAAGAGCACATGACAAATGTTGAAAAATATATAAGTTTAATGATCATGCATATCATAAACATTTTAGGGTTTAAACATTTAGAACTTAAACAAAGAAAATGAAATATGCATAACTTAAACATGAAATATCCAAAATCAAACCTGACTTAAAAAACAAATAATGTCTTGCTAAAGTAATAATGAAAACACTTAGAAGTTGATAAAGTTCCCCATACTAAAACCACAAATACTAAAACCCCAAACGCTCAAAGGCTCTCCATAAACACTTTAATGAAATCTGGCTTCTGTGAGTCATCCAAGGGGATTGATATTTCCTTTTCTTTGGGGCATTCCTTTCTAGATACTTCATGGTTGGCCCGTCTCCTTTGCTAATGGCTCTCATACTTTGCCTCTGATCTGAAAAAATCAGCTATTATTGAGTGGAATGATATCAAGGTGTTTAAAAAGTGACGATACTGACATAAAAGGTAAATGACCAACTTACCAGGGGTGAGGTCTGGCAAAGAATGCTCGATGAAACGGGTAGCTGCCTGATGATTTAAAGTAGTAGACGGTCGCAAAGGAGCTTGAACAAAATCAAATTGTCAATAAGAATATAAACAACCCACCAGTCAAACAATCATACGTAAAAATGGAAATTTGCAAAGAATTCAATATGTAAAACACATGAAACACGATATCCAGGATGTATGTCATGCGTAGCTTCAATCTGTAACGTCCTTCTTGGTTGCGGCATTGTTTGAGACAACAAGGAGAACACTAAGCACAGCCGCCCACATGACACATGCGCGAATGGCAGCACCTCAATCTACAGTCACGGACGGACAAAAAGGAAAATGCTAATCACAGTCTCCCACACAACACTGAGTTCGAATGACAGCATCCCAAATCAATTACTAACGGTAACTCACTAGGCGCGGGCGACTGCACTTAGCATATCTCGATACTACAATATACAAATCGATCTATCAATAATGGCACTTCCAAAAGAAAAGCATGTACCTTTACTCAAATCCACCAACTTCTCAAGCTTCTCCTCATACAATTTTAATCTATCCTACATAAATGAGACAACAAAAACAGAAAAACATTCAACTTCACCCAATTCAAACAGTTACGCAAATCCGATAATCTCAAAAACCATGAACTCACACACAGACATGCATAAACCCAGAAACAATATCCACATAAATTCGATAAATTTCAAGAATTTGATTAAAAAATATACAAAAATTAGCAAACTTACGAACTCCGTTTTGACTGGATGGTTAAATGGGTTTACTCCAGTGCACCTCAGCCTCACTGTAAAACCAAAAAGTACAAAAATTCAACTAAAATTCGAACTGGGTTACCCAAAAACCGCAATCAAATCGGAATTAACTGAAAATTGAGTGAAGGAAGGCGAAGACTTACAGGCGAAGAGGAGGGTGGTGGCCTTGGAGAGCATAAGCAGCGAGTGGGCGCGGTCGAGCGGCGGCATTTCGGCGAGAACGTCGGCATCAGCGAGTGAGAGGAACTGGAGGAGGTGGGGACGAGGAGGAAGGTTGCGAAGGGGACGAGGAGGAAGGTTGCGAAGGGGACGAGGAGCAGAAAGGTTGCGAAGGGGACGAGGAGGAAGGTTGCGAGGCTGCACAAAGGGGACGAGGAGGAAGGTTGCGAGGCTGCACAGAAGAAGATGAGCAGGAAGGTTGCGAAGGGGAGAGGGATGCAGAGGTGAAGAGGAACGGCTGAGAAGAAGAGAAATAGTTTTTAGGGTTTGTTATTTGATTTTGATGTTGTAAATTTTGAAAAAGACAAGGGGCATTTTTGTCTTAAAATATTAGAAATTTCTGTCCCACGGACGTGGAACAACCCGTTCCATGGGGGGGAGGTGGAACAAAAAATCATCCAAAACTTGTTCCGTGGAACAGCGCGTTCCACTCATTTTAGGCGTACCAAACGTGGGACGGAACGCTTCGTCCCACCCTGTTCCGTCCCGTCCCGCGTACCAAACGCGACCTGACTGAACCTCTTTGTTTTTTTCTTTTTTTTTCATTTTTTTTTTTGGAATATTTTAATTTCAATTATTATGTATATTAAAATTTGAAAGATCCTTCACGCCGGTGGAGGTTTTTGTCTGTTTGAAACATGGCAAGCCTCATGTTGACTTGAGAGCTCTCACCTCCGAATGATCTCATGATGGCCAGCCTGCATCACCCTTTCATCTCTTAATTTGGCGGTGTGCTTGCTGATGTTGCAGAGCCGGTCTACCATGAATTATTATACAGTCATGAGTGGATTTTATTATTCAAAATTAAGATAAATGTAATAGTAGATTAAATACTATGCGAGTCTTGGCATAGTTCTCTTGCTTATCTTTTTTCGTTTACTTTTATTATTACCAACAAATTTGGTGGAAGAGGAATCGGCGGAGGTACCAACTCTTCTTTGAATGGTAGGTGTCTCGCACGTGATTATTGTCGAAGAAATAATCTCATTTAATTTTTTTCATTTAGATGAGAAAAAATATACCATTACAAGATTGATCACCTAGAGATTTGTAACTTGAGTGGACAAGAACAATTACCGATAAGTAGTAATGGAGACAAGGTCAGGTTAATGAGTTCAAATGACTTGAATCAATATGTTTTTAATTTCTCTTCATCTCAACTAATAATAATCATAAACTTTTGATTAATTAGATGTCATTCCGACTATACTAGAGACTTATGCATCAATTGATTTAGAACAACTATTGATGGACATGTTTGATGAAAATGCCTCATCGACATTTCAAAATACAAAACAAAGCTAAAGTTATGTCTTATGAGAGTTTTTATTTATTTATTTTAAATAATCTCAACCGGACCCCAATGTAAAAGAGTCAATGACTCTGCTATTGCTGATGCTGTAAGGTTTGTGGCCGATTTCCCCTTCGGCACTTAACCTAATACTTGACATTATTAACTACATTGAAATATTTGAAAATGCATGGTAGAAACTGAACAAGGAGTAACATAGAGGAATATAAACTAGAGAATTTAGAAAGAGAAATATGAGACATGTATTCATTACGAAATGATTACACAACTATATTTTTATAACAAAAATCCTAACAACTCTAATCAAATACCAACAAACTTATCAACTAATTGTTGATCTGTACAATCATTTTAACTAATCATCTAAGTTGTGGAACCCTTAAGGGGGTGTTTGTTTGGCCTCTTTAAGTTTCACTGGATTGGCTAGGATTAATAGTGAGTGAAATACCATGTTTGTTAGCAGCCGGAATTATCTTTAATGAGACTAAGAGGGACTCGCCTAGACTAAATGCCTCACTAGGCGGTCTTAGCGAGACCCCCCGAAATTGGGCGGATTGCTAAGACCAGCTCTCCTTCGCCCCTTTCCGCTTCACTCTTCGTCAGTTCTCTACCTTTCCCCTCCCGACTGCTATTTTTTCCCGTAAGACTCCTCTTCCAGCGAAGCCACCATGGATCTGTGGTCAGAAACTCTTCTTTGAGAAACCCATTTCATGGAGTTTTTGTAAATTCATTTCGTGGATCTGCAGCCCTTCCCTTTTCAATACCAAATCCAACTCCCAAAATTTCAACCCAGAAAACCAGAAAATCCAAAAAGCCAAAAACCCAGAAAACTGAGAAACCGAAGGCAGATTCAACCCCATCTCCCCACCTTCGAGCCACTCACGCATGCATCCCGCCTCCAACTCCCAAATTTTCATTTTCGTTCTTGCTCTTTGGTTTGATTTTAAGATTTGCAAGGGATTTTGTGAGAGGAATAGAAGAGGCAGATAGAGATTTGCAGTGAAGAGAAAGAGAGAGATTTGTAAAATCTTCGAATAAAAGAGGCAGAGAAAGATTTGAAGTGGCACAGATAAAATGGCAGAGAAATGGGAGAGGGGAGGGATGCAGTGGGCGGACAGAAAAAATGAGAGAGGAATATGAATCAGAGCTTGATCAAAATAAAAAGAAGAAGATAGTTCTCGAAAATGATAATTTAATAATAAAATATTAGTATATATAGATTAAATTAATAATAAAATATTGTAAATATAAATTTAATAATATAATATATGAGTCCTGTTTTTAGTCCGATGCAACATCAAACGCTTTACTAAATTAGTCCAGCTTAGTCTATTCTAAGCCAATCCAGCTTAGTCCTTAAAGCTAGTCCAGTCCGAGATAGTCCGGTGCAACAAACGCACCCTAATAGACATGTCTCCTCCACATTCATGTACCTACGCTCCTTGATCTTTGTTGAAAGTGTAAACTACGCAAGTTTCAATAAATTATATGCCTGATTAAATAAGTAATGCACGAACTAATTCTTAATTTCTGACATGAGTTCCCCCAAGTTTACGTTCACAATGACAGTACTCCCTTTATTTATTTTTAATTAAACATTCACATCCATTGGCATCTGATCCCAAACCAAAGGCCCGGATCCATGGATTCCACAGTGATCTAGGATTTACTTTACAATTAAATATTAAATCATGGAGGCACGCTCGATCGCATGCAATGAAATTACGTAACATTTTCCCTTTTTAAATCATATGATCATATTAAACAGAAAAAAATAGTTTAACTGGTTTTTTAATTAACTCGCACAAATAAGATGATGATGATAGGCCAGCTCAGTGCCTGCAATTTTTCTCTGCATTATTTTTGCAAAAAACATTGGTAGCGCACATGCTTTCTTCATCAGCAAACCAACTCTTCAATGCTCTCTATAAATTAAAACGCCACTTAATAATAACCCATCTGAGCTCACACAAGCATAACCACCTCTCTCTCTCTCTCTCTCTCTCTCTCTCTCTCTCTCTCTCTCTCAAATCAAAGTGAGTGATTGTCTTCTATTTTTCTTGGAGAAAATGGCTATGACGATCAGAAAGTCGTACGGCGCCTACTCGAAGATGGACAAGGAAGATCCCGAAGAGGTAAATCATCGACGGGCGCAGTTCTTGATCTACAAAGTGATGCAACAAGTAGAAATGCGGCGGAGGCCTTCGAATTTGAGGATTCGGGTACGTAAACTGAAGCTGAAGATTGGGAGGAGATTAAAGAAGTTGAGGAAGACCATGCTTCTAAGCGTATCTGCTGCCAGGGTTTGTGTTTATAAGCAAGTTTTTAATCAATTAAAAACTTGCAAGACCTTGTTTGGCCGCGGAGATCAGGGAAATATCAACGTCACTCTTCCAGCTTTGTTCACCTGATTGAAATACTTTTAGTTATGTCTCTTAGTTTTCTTCTCATTGATCTTTTTCATATATAAATACCAGCTTGTAATTTCGTTTGGTAGAGTTTGCTTGTTTTCTTATATAGAACAACTTGAGAATGTCATATATATGATACGTGTCCCAGTCTGATTTTGGTTTAAAGCGATCTCATGGATTTATTTCATTCAATCATTTGTGTTCATACGATCACCAAAACGTACATTAAACGGGCATGTAAAAGTTAAAAGAGTGGTATAGTTAAAATTTTATCAATACAAAAAGAGTCAGGACGACAAACTTATCAACAATACAATTCGTATATCAGAAGGTCCTTAATTTATCTTCCGCTGTACGCTTCAAAATACATGCAAAGCACAAAGTAAGGCATCTCCAATGGGAGATGGAAAATGCTTTAAAAATGGGCATTTTATAATTTTTTTTTTTTTTTGCTGGAAAATTCTCTAGTGACTGAATGTAAATTATCTATCTTCGCCAAAAGATGTAAAGATAACCCTAAATTTACATTCTTTTTACATCTTTTAGTGATGTGTGCCATTAAACAAAGATTAAAAAAAATTAAATGAAATTTCAAATTTACATCTCATCCATTGAAGTTGAACTTTCATTTACATTGACCAGAAATATAAAATAAAATGTAAATATAGTTGTTGCATCTCAAAATTGCATGTTTTCGTTGAAGATGCCCTTAAGTAATAAATTAAGCCATATATAGCTTACTAATGGACACTAACCCGTCGATCAAGAAAGATATTCATAGTTTGTGCAAAGAAGTCAACTTCCCATCAAGACACTCCTTGCATTAGTACTACTGTCGAAATTAACTGTCACTTTTTGTACCGTTATTTAATATAATTTTGGAGAAGTGGCCAGAGGGAAAATATAGTTGGTCCACGTAGAACAACCCATAAATCCAATTAGTATAATTAATTAGTGTCTGAAAAAATGTCCACAAATAAGTCAACTATGGGTTTCTAGAAATTAGTGTATATATTTACAAGTGGTGGATTGTTTGTGCGGGCTAGGATCCTACGCTTCAAACCATTGCGTTTCGATTAAAAACAATCATCCAATTTCTTAGCGTAAATTAATGTATAATATTATTTACAGTCAGAAAAAAAATGTGTATATATTTAAGGTTAAAATTATTTACTAAACTTGGAACTCTAGCCTCATGTTATGATTAACATGACATATATATATATATATATATATTTGCTAGGTATACATTTGCATGAAACTTAAACTTGTGTTGTATGAGGTGCTCCTGATTTTATTCAGACCTGCGATTAATAGTTAGGATTAGTTGTTATGACTGGACTGTTATAATATATTTCTTTTTAGTCATTAGAAGAGTCAGCAGGATTGTGCTTGGCACGCTTTATCTCACAAATAGCTTTGTGCCAGCAACTAACTCCCTCCATTATTATTTGATAAAAAATCACTCGTTTCATTAATCCTTTTTCTGATTGATTGGTGGAACTGAATGTTTCTTTTTAAAATCATCTTGTAATCCCATTTTTAACTTCTGAATTGTAATGCCCCTTTTGACTTTTCAACACATAACTTTAGCCTAACATGAAAACCTAAGGGATTTCACACTTCGAAGAATATGACTAACCTTTATTAGGATTCGAAAAGTTTATAGGCATTTTAGCTCACATTTGGTGATACACATTCTTTCTGAGTTTTCAATTAAAAAACCACCTATGTTTTTGCCAATTTCGTATTTCAAACTCATAATCAGAGAATATATTTGACTTGGAATTTTACTGTATTAATTTCTATTAAACTACTTACCATGGTTACACACACACACACATATGAATAAATTGAAAACGTTCATCGACTTAAATCCAATTTGTAAAATGCTTTTTGATTTGCAATGATAAAAAAAAAACCTTTAAACTTTTACTCTTTCAAAATTTTTTGACTTATAATATATATACGTACACATATAACCAACTTACTTGACCTAAACTCACAATTATAAATAGAAAGATGCTTGATTGTAATAGGAGAGAAAAACTTATTTAAGGCTTAACGTGTCACTAGACAATGCTTAAGATAGAAAATTAATGTTAGTTATTTGTAATCTACCCTTATCTTTGATTGGTGATTATGATTCAATGGGATGAAAAAAAATGGAAGCAAAAACCTTATCCAATCCTTCCTGAATCTCTCTCTAACTCTCTCCTTCAAAAAATGTGATAAGAGTAATATTTTTTATTATATATAGAGTTCGCCAACCTGCAATGCATGCATGGCATGGCATGCCGAACCAACAACTGTGGCCTATTGAGGATGGAGGCCTAGTTGCAGTGGCACTAGAGCTAAGAAAACTCCCACCTCACCCAAGTTCGATTCCCCCCGTCCCCAAATTTAACTAATGACCAAAAAAAAAACAATTGTGGCCTATTTAAAACTTGTGGCTTTATGATCTCAGCCAGAGCCAGCCCTGGCCTAGTGCTAGCAGGGTGACCGTCCGGGGACTCAAAAAATTGGAGGCACCAAAATTATTAAGGTAGTCTATTCATATATGTTCTTGTAAGCGTGGACATTAAAAGAAAAATTGGTTAATTCATCAAGTAGGTTAACTGGAGGCGTTGATTCCGTTGTTGTCACATCCCCGCCCGAGGCAGATCACTTCCCAGGCCCGCTCCACCACCATAGCACAATATTGTCCGCTTTGGGCTTACCATTCCCTCACGGTTTTGTTTTTGGGAACTCACGAGCAACTTCCCAGTGGGTCACCCATCATAGGATTGCTCTAGCCCCCTTCTCGCTTAACTTCGGAGTTCCTACGGAACCCGAAGCCAGTGAGCTCCCAAAAGGCCTCGTGCTAGGTAGATATGGGAATATACATATAAGGATCACTCCCTTAAGTGATATGGGATGTCACAATACACCCCCTTTAGGGGCTCGACATCCTCGTCGACACACCACGGCCAGGGTTAGGCTCTGATACCAAATTGTCACATCCCGGCCCGAGGCAGATGACTTCCCGGGCCCGCTCCACCACCGTAGCACTATATTGTCCGCTTTGGGCTTACCATTCCCGTTGGGGCTAGAGCAATCCCATGATGGGTGACCCACTAGGAAGTTGCTCGTGAGTTCCCAAAAACAAAACCGTGAGGGAATGGTAAACCCAAAGCGGACAATATCGTGCTACGGTGGTGGAGCGAGCCCGGAAAGTGATCCGCCCCAGGCGGGGATGTGACAGTTGTTCCTCAATAATGAGGGCCAATGTTCGAACTATTCTTTGTGCCCTTTTCCTTATTTTTTTACTTATTTTTGTTTGATTGTTAATTTCGTTTATATATATATATATATTTTAAAAAATTTGGTTAATTCAACAAGAGGGTTGACTAGAGGCACTAGTACCTTTGATTATAATTACTAAAATTTGGTTAATTCATCAAGAAGGTTAACTAGAGGCGCATATTTTTTATATCCATTCTCATTCAAATTTAACTTTCAACAAAATAATGTATGTATGTCTTTATTAATTTAATTTGGCAAGCACATAGATTATTCAGAAAATGAGTTCACTTTCACGCAACTGCAAAAATTGGAACTTTCACTTCTACCAAATCTACAAGGCTTTTGCTCATAAAATTGCATTGTTAAAGTCCCGTGCTTAGACACTTTAGATGCAAATATTGTTCGATTGAGTAGTATTTTTACCATATGATAATCTTCTTTTCTTTATGACCACTTTTACAGTGTAACTTTGTTTTTCTATATATGAGAACTTATTATCCGACAAAGAAAAATACTTATTTAAATTATTAAAAATTCAAATACCTAAGAAAAAAATCACATAAAAAACATAATTTTTTTGTGCGTATTGTAGGTTTGTGGGCCCTATTTTTATTTTTGCTCAGGGCCTCCAAAATATTTGGATCGGCCCTGATCTCAGCCAGCCATTGATGCCATCAACCTTTTAGTAGAGGCTGCTTCTTGTCGTCCCATTTCTCCACGCGATTTTTTGCCTTGTCCACCTGAGTTGTTCGGTCCCCCAAAAATACCAAAGTGTTTAGTAACGAAACAAAAATGTTGAATTAATAATATTTAATCATATATAAGGCTACCGGTAAAAACAAAGAAAGATAACTTGAAAGGATAAACTAAGTGAGCATATTGATTACTGAAATTACCTCTTTATTCCAGTCCGTACGAAATGTTACCCACAGTAAAATTAAGGTCTGGATCAGTGTTCCTCCAATCATCCCCACCCATATTCCCTGTATAATATACTTATGTACAGGTATCAATTTCTTATAATTTACTAATCATTTAGCTACATTTAGCTTCTACATTGTGTAAAATTTTATATTTGCCTCATTTTTAAAAAAAAAAATTAGGGAGATAATTGAGTTGGTAACTGTACCTCAGCGCCAAGGTCGAATCTAAACCCAAGAATGCAGCCGAATGGAATTCCAACCACGTAATAGCATCCCACATTCACATATGCCACAAATGCTTGCCACCCACATCCAACAGCCACCCCTACAATGATCCCCATATATCTATATCCATAATTAAGTTAAATTATCATGAACAATGATCTAAACACACGTTTAATGATTCACTTAGACACAAGAACAAGTGTTCAAGAGTTAGGGTTTTAATTTGTCTTCTAAATAATCAGGTTTTACTATCTTACACGAACATAAGGTGTCATATGCTAATAAGTTTTTGTGCACTGCTCCTGTACTTAGATCCAACATCCACACACTCCAATCCTCAATCTCTTACATTCGATTCCCTGTATAAACGGTCTGACACAAAAATCTCCATATACACCACACCCAATGTCATATCGAAAAATACATAATTCAAACCTTAAGCTTTTATCCCGGGTGAATTAATTAATGGTTAAACCAAACTAGATATATATAAGATAGCACGTACCGGATAGGACTGGTTGAATCCCATTAAGGATGAGAGTGACGGCCAAATATGGAGTTAGGTGCGAGACTGCCTTTGCCACAGTTTCACCGCTAGTGAAGGCATAACTGATTACGTCACGGAGGGAGAGCACAATCACAGCTTCCACAACAGCAAAAGTTAAGGATACCAAAGTTACTACTAGAACCGAGAATGCTGCTGACTTTGGATTCCCAGCACCTAGCTCATTGCTCACCCTCACACTGCATGCATGCAATTCATTAATTTCCATCAATTAATTTGTAATTACATATCTGCTTATTCATCAATTAATTTTTTAGTTAATTATGACTTAACATATTTCAAGGGCTTATCCGGTTGGGTTACTCCTTTATTGCTAGAATTATCAGAGAGATGAGCCGAATGACTACTTCCAACAACACCGATATTGTCTCTAATTTGGAAATTACCACTTGCTCAAATCATCAGGTGTAAGGTTTTATTACAAAAAGTCTCAATGTTAGTTAGAGTGGCGTTAGGATATTTAAACTTTTCTTTTCTCAAAGATACAGCTGATGTGGGATGTTTCAACACGCCCCCTTAGGTGACACTTAATTAGTGGTTAACACGTGAGAGATCCACATATCGACAATCACATGAAGTTAGATGACTCACCCTACACATGAGACCAGGAGACCCACCATCATCGTGCGGGGACAAAAGCACCTACCCATCACGTGACAGTATAGGCCCGCTTTTTTGCTCTAGTACCATGTTACCCGGATCGTCGGATTGCTCTTGGGAAGCAATCAAGTTTAAAAGAGATAGTTGTGGGCCAAGATTGACTGGATCCGGGTCCTTTCTGAGTCTGCTGCCAGCGTCATGATTTCCTTTATGTTTAGCGGTTGCCGCATGCACGCCTGCTTGCTGCCCAACTGAATTGTGGGCGCCAGACACAGCAGGCTCAGACTCTTGCATACTGAAGGTAAGTGACGTAAGCCCAGTTCTTGCTTCAGCATTTTTTTCTTGCACAACGTCTGTAATTCTCCCTTGGTTTCGCTGTTCAGCCATTTGAAACACAACGACTTGGTGGTTGTATTGTGTAGGTTTTTTTAGGATTTAGGTCACTCTCTTGTCTCGAGATCACACCTTGATCCTTAGATTTTGTTTTTCTTTTGCAAATTGATTTTGAAGCTAACAAGAATCTCTAATGTCGGCACTAAGATAAAATTATGATTATGAGTTTCAATCTTTGTCTTCTTCTTGTCTCTTGCTTCGAGACGCAGAGGTTTAGACTTCTAGGTTTTTTATTTTTCCTTCTCTTTTTCAGTGGGGTGAGCAGTGCCTTTGAGGTTTTGGTGATTTAGGTTTATAGGGTTTTTTTTTTCCAGTGGGTGGTTCTCTTGCTTTGAGACCACGGTGGAATTTTTTCTGGGTTTCTAGAGATTAGCAGCTAGAGTAAAGGAGAAGGAGACAAGCCAAAATCTGCTTTGATGCCAACATAAAATTAGTTTTAGGGTTTCAAATATCTTCTTCATATTTCTCTTCTCCCGTTGGGAGGCAACATATAAACACAACTTCTTTCCTTGTAATACAAGGAATATTAAAGACAGTTACAACCAAACTAGGAAACATAAATATAGTCCTAATCCATCTAAGACGTGGACTCACGCCAATAAGTTGTTTCACATGTGAAGCAATGGTCACACACTATTTGTGTTGTCTACGTATTAAACTAAAATTTTTGTCACCTGTGAAGAGTCATGTTGAGTATGAATCTCACATTGATGGAAGGTGAAAACTTGCATGAGCTTATAAGTAAGTTAAGCTACTATTTTTATTGCAATTGGTTTTATAATAAAGCCTTAACTTTCTTCGTATGGTATCCGGGCAAGTTATCTTTTGTATGAAGCCCAACGGCCACATGTGCTCCATGTCACTAATTTCTATTGTTATGTGTTTGATTTGAAAATTTTTCACACTTAGGAGAGCATGTGAGGATGTAAAGGTTAAAAGAGTTTCATATCGGTGAAAAGAAAAACCTTGTAAAGGTTTATAAAAAGTTAAACTACTCCCATATTACTACCTAATTTTATAGTGAAACCTTAACTTTCTTCATAGCTAAATTAATTAATCTAATATTTTACAATAACAATATACGTACGTACCTTGCAGCTGCATTGAACCCGGCTGAAACCATGAACAACACTCCACTTATCGACATGCTGCACAAGAAGAAAGCGAAACCATGCACCGTTAAGCAAAACCATGCACAAGCTAATTATACATTTATATCTATCCAAGAAATGGGGTTCACTTTCATTCTTTTGCAACAATTTGAATTGTTTGTTTTTTAAATCTTCATTTACAGATCAATCATCTTTACGAAGATTCATCTAAATCTAAAATATTTTACCTATTTGATTATCATGATGAAATTTAATGTTCGTCGATTTCTTTGAGTACATTTACACAATCATTTCTAATTTTGTTAGGTATAACAAGAATGACCTATTATATGAAACTTAAAAAATAAATTATTTGAAATCGTTAAATTTTAACGAGGTAAGGGATGTGTATATGACCAGATTAATTTCTTTTGTGTTAACGAGGTAAGGGGTGCGTATATGACCAAATTAATTTCTTTTATACAAATTAAGTAAAAACATTATAATGTGCAGCATCTGTGGACGCAAGAACTTGATACATCACTTCACTACGGAGTTAGGCAAGGAATTAATATCCTACAGTTAAGTTAGTCAGAAAATGAAAAGTAACAAAGTAAGTTAATTGCAATCGACTGTTTTTATGCATAGTAAATATGTATTTGTTGATCTTGAAATCAATTAATTTTTTTAATACGAGATTAATGTTATTATTAGGATTTGATGGGTACGTGGAAGATATCTATATGTCAACATTGGAGCCTATATATGGGAATGAGGATCCTCTTTGCGAGGATCCTTAAATCGTGTCCGTTCATCTTACATCGTGCAGACATAAATTATTTTAAATATTTTTATTTAAAATTAAACATGAATAGTACTTGATGAAAATTGGTCATATAATGTACAATGAACAGACATGATTTGAGGATCTCATGAATCCTCACAAGGAGGATCCTCATTCTATATATGGCACTTTTGAAAGGGTAAGATATGTTACCAATAGAAAATGAGCACGTCAATCAACACTTAATTAATAATTCAATCATAAATATCAACATTATTTCGTTTATAAATTTATTTTCCTGGTATTATCTTTTTCTTAAAGCCTTGAGCATTTATGTTTCCATGTGAGAGAAAATTTTGGTAATGACTGATGTGTCATGTCATTTTGTGATAAGGAGAAGATATATATTCTTTCACTTGTGAAAGCACTCTCCTCGATAAATTGTAAGTGGGTAATGTTAAGGAGATCAATTATTTATATTAAATTTTATTTACACTAAGCCTTAGTTTGGTACTAAGGTGATTTTGAAAAAAGTGGTTATAAAAAAAAGCTGGGAGATCAATTATTCAGCTTCAGTTTTTTTTCACAATTTTGGATGAAAAAAAAACCAAAAACGCAAAGCTGCAAAACCTAGCTTTGAAAAACCAGCTTTTTTTCACATATGTTTTACATAAAAGTTTATCAAACACTATAATATTGCTTTTTTTTTTCAAAAGCACTTTTACAAAAAAGTTTACTAAACACTCTGCTGCTTTATTGTACAACTGCTTATTCTCACAGCACAACAGAAGCTGTTTTTTTTCAAAGCACAGCAATACCAAATCAGCCTTAAATATAATGGGAAATTTAAGCTGACACTAATAATTTGACATCAAATTTGCAATTCATGAGAATTAAATTTTAGACTTGATATTTATAAGTGAGAAAGAATATACAAACTTAATTAAAATGCGTAACATTAAATTAAATTAATTAATGAAAGCAGAGTGCTGTTAGGATCTTACCATACAGCCAAAGAATTTAGGGCAAGCTCGGGGTTCTTGAGCAACCCAGCAATCAAAACTAGCACCTGAAAATACCAACACTCCAAGCACAACATCACCGCCGATGCAGCCGACAGCTTGAAAAAATCCCACAACCCAGAAAAGGCTTGCAAACTAAAACCATTCCAAGTCAGCTTACACTGACTACTCACCAAGATGTAAACAATCTGGGCCCCAACTATGATCCACCACGACAAGCTCAAAACAAGAGACGCACCTATCAACCCTAAACCCAGCTTGTACACAGCAACCCAGCTCAGCAACAAATGCACTCCTAAAGTAGCTGCTGATATGTAAGCACTCGGGGCCACAATTCGTTGTGCTTGGAGAAACTTTTGAATGGGGAAGTTGACGGCGTAGGCAAATATTTGAGGGATTAGACCGTAGACAAATACGGCGGCGGCTGAGGCCACGGCGGGCGGTTCGCCGAGTAAAAGCAACATGGGTTTTGAGAGAAGAAAGATTGCCAGAAGTGGGAGGCCAGTGAGAGATAGGACTATGGTTGCTCTTTGAAGGTATATGCTTAACATGTCATATTTCTGGGCACCGTAGGCTTGCCCGCATAGAGTCTCCACTGCACTTCCCATGCCTAGCTGCAAGAAACCAGAACAAACAAAAAAAATTATTAAAGAGATAAGAATGACAACATAAAATGCATGTGATTGACAGTATATAAATTAGTTTTCATATTATGTTGTGATATTGTCAATTTGAAACTTTTTTTTGTGTGATCGAGCATATTGAAAACGTTCATCATCTTAGTTCTAACTAAATAACTGACATGCTTGTTAATAACACAACAAGTCATAGGACACATAAGTTATATTGATAAATGTACCATGAGGCCATAAGCCAAGAGTTGGATGCCGTTGTTGCCAAGAGAGGCGGCGGCGAGCTCAAGATTGCCGAGGTGGCCGGCAAAGACACGAGCGGAAAGTGACATGGAGTTGTTAATGACATAAACCAAGACTGCGGGAGCAGCAAGACGAAAGAGGAGCTTGAGTTCAATCCATGTGGCCAAGCTGAATCGCTTGAACGAGGGCAATTGGGTGTCGGATAGCACCTTCTCGAGTAGAAAGTCCACACCTTCTCCATCTCTGGAGGCTTGTGCTGCCGGTTCAGGTTCGGAGTGTAAGATGGGTTGGTGCAGTGGGTGTTGAGAGCTCATTTTTGGACCAAAAAGGTGGTGGGGTGTGTGGCAGAAGTGTGCCACAGTTCGATGCATGGAGAGAAATTGGTGCTTGGAATTTTGGAAGTATGAGGCTGCAGTAATAATGTACATAGTCCATGTTAGAGAACGAATATTTTTGACACGTTGTCCGTGGACATAAGTACTGTTTTGGCATCAAACTAATACAGTGCGTCACTTAGTACTAATTAATGATTTTTATTAACATTCTACTTTACTTATAAATGAATTGTGATAGAATTATAGTCTATTTTTTCCAATCCGACAAAAAAAGTGTAATTAATCAATTTCTTTTAGGTCAAACAAAGACTTCATAACCAAGCGTATAGATATTTCCCTTTTCATCATTAGAAGAGGGATGTGCTAAGTTTTAATTTCATCTCTCCATTAATAGAAATTACAAAAATGATATAGCTACAAAATAGAGTATACACGGCAAATATTAAGAGAACGTTCTCTATTTAAAATAAATATGTTGGAGTGGGGTCCCCCTACAATAATCTTGTAGCTTTTTTTTAAGAATTCGATGCCATCTTCGCTTTTTATCATTGAGAGAGGTGGGGTACTGAAAAGAAAACACTTTGATGTTGAATTCGGTATTTGTTCAAAAACTTAATAAAACACTGAGAAGTGGGAGGGAATAATATTCCCCTCTCCTCTTTCTCTCGCCCCAATAGCTGGTGGGATTCTAAGCCTTTTATAGGCATTAAAATTTTCTCTCCTTTTATCTCACGCCATATATTCCATGGTAGTGGAGGAGTTATCTTGCCTTCATTTTCGCTTCCCATAAAAATCCTTCCATCCATGAGCTGGAAACTCTTATTTTTGTACTACATTATTGCTAATCCATTATGAAATTAAACTTACTTAATAATATCATTTATTCAAAAAATAATAATGCAATAAATATGATTATATACTTACCGAACAATATTTGTGTAAGGTAGGAAAGCTTGAGAATTATGGTAAATCAAACTCAAACGTATGAGATTAGGGAACATTTACTTCTTCTTTTTTTCAAAAATTGGGAACATATACTTCAGGAACCAGTTATTTGGTTAAGAGAATAACTTTTGTTTGATGCCTCATGCCATTGTTGAAAAAAATATTCTATAGAAAATTGAGGTTCACTCCAAAATTAATTGGTAATATGAGAAGTAGTTAATTACTTATAAGTATATGCAAGGTCTCTTCTTAACTCGATATGGGATAAACACTTTCAACACGGATCCTCACGTGTGGCCTGAGGTTCCACCTTATAAAATTAATTGGTAATATGTGAGAAGTAGTTAATTACTTATAAGAACATGCAACGTCCTTTTTTCTCCGATGTGGGCTTAAAACTCTCAACACACCCCCTAACTGTGACGAATTTTCAAGGCTAATACGTGGACTTCTTCAGCTTATATAAACAGCACTGGATCTGGAGCCATAGAATCAGCCGACCGAGGAGCACCTTCAGTTTGGATAAACATCACTGCTTCGAGACTGACTAGTTATTTATCTAAGTCTCAATCAACAAGGATTTTCGAGTTCTTCTTGGTAGAGGTCATCTCATTAGCCTTCTCGGTGAAGTGGGGTGTTACCAGATTACTACATTTGGCGCACTGAAAGCCGAATTTGATATTGTCTTCAGGCTCTAGAACCCAAAGGCCAAGACGTGTTCCTTCCTCGGCTGCTGTCGTGAAATCAAGAAGTCAGCAGCGCGCCCAATGCCACATCAACATATTTTACTCCCCGGTCAAACTCGGCTAACGAGTTGGCACGCCTCGCATTCAACTAAAGGACGTAGTTAGCTTATTAATTACTCGGCATGCGCACCACGTATGCTAGGTAGTTTTTAGGGTCAACACATAGTTAGCCTAATTCTTCGAACAATAAAGGAGAAATATTTTGTGTTTGCAGAAAATGGTTTATCATTGGAAAAAAAAAAACAAATAATTAAAGCGAATCTGGATTCAATTATATGTAATTGTTTTTCATGACCAAAGTCTATACAATATATTCCAAGTAAACCTTGAGAGAAAATATGAAGTGGTGGGATTTCAGTTCTTCAAAGACAAGGGAGATTTAACACATAAACTGGAGGAACATAGTGAATGCAACAAGCATCCCTTACTTAGGAAAGTGATCCACATCAACCCATATTAAAGTTTATCTCCCAGGCTTTTCCCGTGGGGGATGTATGGGTGGTGTTTTTTGTTTTATTTGTTTTAATGTTGGAAATAATATTTTTTATTTTTTTTTATGTAAATAGGAAATTGTAGTTAAATTTAACCACGTGTCAAATTTTATTGAGTTGTAGTGCCACTAGGCATTGTCTAGTGGCACATTGAGCCCAACACACGTTTTTTTTTCTTTTTCCTATTATATTGGAAGATCAAACACGAGATACATTAGGTGATCGTTGAAATACATTATGAAATGAACCTTATAAAACAAGTGTTGAAAACATGTGTCACTGGATTGTAATTCTAAATTGAAATATGTGTATTGTTTGGGCCTTTTGTTAAACGTATGCAAATCATCTATTCTATCTATTATATATAAAGAGAGAAGAAAAGGTGAATAGTGTTTTGGTGTCATAATGCTTTACAAAAAATAATTTAACAAAGAACTTCAAAGGCATCCCAAAATAATGCATCAAATAAGGTAAGGGCATTTTCATAATTTTAATAGTATTTTTTTAATAATTAATGATTTCGTGGTTTTTTTTTTAAGTAGTACCTCACAATAGGCTAGTAATAATATGATTCAATTTATCTATTTTTAAACAATTTCAAAACATCTTAAGAGGCATGTAATGCCGGTTATAAATTCACACGCAGATAATAATGTAACTAAATTAGTTGTTAAATGATTGTTTGTTTGTTTGTTTGTTTTGTTTTGTTTTGTTTTGTTGTGTTTTTTTTTTTTTTTTTTTTTTTTGTTGTAACAAACGATATTATCTATACTAAAGGGAAATGAGGTGGGCTTAGTCTTATAATGAGTTAGCAATAATGTGATTCAATTAGTTGTTTATTAAATATTACTCTCTATTTTAAACACGTGCAAAACCTCTTAACAGACCTGTAATGCACAAAGTACTTGGAATCTGGTACCACCACCAAATGATAGAGGTGTTATTTGTAACATCCCACATCACCCAGGGAAGTGATCCTTATATGTATATTCTCATCTCTACCTAGCACGAGGCTTTTTGGGAGCTCACTGGCTTCGAGTTCCGTAGGAACTCCGAAGTTAAGCGAGAAGGGGGCTAGAGCAATCCCAGGATGGGTGACCCACTGGGAAGTTGCTCGTGAGTTCCCAAAAACAAAACCGTGAGGGAATGGTAAGCCCAAAGCGGACAATATCGTGCTACGGTAGTGGAGCGGGCCTGGGTTGTGATGGGGGCCCGGGCGGGGATGTGACAATTTGGTATCAGAGCCTAACCCTGGCCGTGGTGTGCCAACGAGGACGTCGGGCCCCTAAGGGGGGTGGATTGTAACCTCCCACATTGCCCAGGGGAGTGATCCTTATTTGTATATTCCCATCTCTACCTAGCACGAGGCCTTTTGGGAGCTCACTGGCTTCGAGTTCCGTAGGAACTTCGAAGTTAAGCGAGAATAGGGCTAAAGCAATCCCAAGATGGGTGACCCACTGGGAAGTTGCTCGTGAGTTCCCAAAAACAAAACCGTGAGGGAATGGTAAGCCCAAAGCGGACAATATCGTGCTACGGTAGTGGAGCGGGCCTGGGTTGTGATGGGGGCCCGGGCGGGGATGTGACAATTTGGTATCAGAGCCTAACCCTGGCCGTGGTGTGCCAACGAGGACGTCGGGCCCCTAAGGGGGGTGGATTGTAACCTCCCACATTGCCCAGGGGAGTGATCCTTATTTGTATATTCCCATCTCTACCTAGCACGAGGCTTTTTGGGAGCTCACTGGCTTCGAGTTCCGTAGGAACTTCGAAGTTAAGCGAGAATAGGGCTAAAGCAATCCCAAGATGGGTGACCCACTGGGAAGTTGCTCGTGAGTTCCCAAAAACAAAACCGTGAGGGAATGGTAAGCCCAAAGCGGACAATATCGTGCTACGGTAGTGAAGCGGGCCTGGGTTGTGATGGGGGCCCGGGCCGGGATGTGACATTATTGGTAGCAAATAGGTGCATAAGGTTAAGAAGAATCTTGATGGGATGCTTTCAAGATATAAAGCCCTGTTGGTAACACAAGGCTTCACTCAACAATTGGGGCTAGATTACTCAGAGACGTTTAGTCCGGTTGTTGGGCATACAACTGTCAGATTAATTTTAGCTCTAGCTACTCAATTTGGATGATCATTAAGACAATTGGATGTCAAAAACACCTTCTTGCATGGTGATTTGGAAGAAGATGTGTATATGAAGCAACCTCAAAGGTTCATTGATTCAAAGTATCCAAGATATGTTTGCAAATTCAGTATCAGGAAGATGGGTCTTTGTTTGTTAACCAGTCTAAATACGTAAGGAAGTTGCTGCATAAAGCTGGTATGAAGAATTGTAGACCGACATTCACACCCTCTAAACCACATACACAGCTACTTACCACAGAAAGAGTGTCTATGACTGATCCTACTCAATACAGACGCATAGTAGGAGCACTGCAGTACTTGACCTTTACTAACCCTGACATAACACATTCGGTTAATTTGGTGTGTCAATATATGACTACTCCTACTGGGATGTATTTTCACTTAGTCAAAAGAATTTTGAGGTATTTACAAGGCACAATTACATTTGGTTTGCGATACACAAAATGCACAGACTACTCTATAAATGTATATTTAGATTATGACTGGGCTACAGACATCAACACAAGGCCGTCTATCACAGGCTATGTTGGTTTCCTAGGAAATAATCCAATATCGTGGCAAACATCACTTGAAGGAAAATTCTACGCCTATATAATACAAATCTTTGCGAACTTCTCAAGAAATAACTAACAACACAACTCGACAACTAACATACATTACCAGAAAATGTGTTAGTGTGTTTGCCGCGTGATCTTGGAACAAAAACTAACAAACTATTCTGCAGTGCTGTTAGTGAATGTTTTG